CTCTAATCATCTCTATATCTTTGCTTCTTGCCATTTTTGTTGCTTTTTGTGGTGGTAAATTGAGTTGATGCATTGCAAGCATTAATTTTTTCAATTGCTCTAGCATTTGTACCATTGTACTATTTATTTCAAGAAGTTTTGCCATGATAATACTTAAAAAAAAAGAAAGATATTGCTTAAGACAAATAGAAGAGAAGACTTGAAAACATAAAAAAATACTAAGAATAATATTAGTTTAGAAGAAGATAATCCACAATTCCTAATATACTTAAGTCTTATCAAGAAAAAGAGGTAATTCATTCTTAATCAAGAAAAGACAAAGCTCTCATATTATAAGTATATTCTTGTTAATTTAACAAGGACAAGAACTCAATGAAAGCAAATAAACAAATGAGACTATCTTGAAGAAATATAAAAAAATAGAAATAGAAAAGTATGTATATTAAAAAAGAAACTATAATAGCTATTGCCAAAAGATAAGAAAACTAGAGTTTTTTGAAACTAGACTAGGATTTATATAACAACATTATTGTAATATGTGAAGTGTTGCTTGAGAGTACACTAGGCTCCTCGTCGTGGAAGATAGAATGGAAATTGCAATAATAAAATCTTAATTCTAATAGAATACTAAATAAATTCTAATTAAATCTTAACAATGCTAAATAAGCTTTAATCAAATTCAAAAAAAAATCTTAATGAAATTACAAAAGAAGCAATAAAAAATCTTAAAGGAGTTGAAAGATAATCTATAATAAATTTTAAAAGAATCCTTAAGAAGCCTTAAAATAAATATTAAAATAATCACATTATATCTTAAATAAATTTCAACTAAGTTCTAATTTAATCCTATTTGAAATCCTAATAGACTTTAATCAAGTCCTAAAAAAAATCTAAATCCTAAGCCAAATCCTAATCAAATCTTAAATCCTAAATCAAACCTTAATCAAATCCTAAATCCTAAACAAAATCTTAATCAATCCTAAACTCTAAGGTAGTTTAGAACCTTGATATCTTTTGATTAAAATTTTTATCTTTTTAAAATTTATACACCTTTCAATTTCTTAGTTGTAAATAAGTACAATAAATTTGAGGGCAATTGCATTTATCAAATAGAAGAAAAATCCTAAAATCTACTCGGATGTTGTTTGGCCTCCTTTTCCAACCTTGATGCTGATCTTTCAGTATTAATATCTTCCTTTTGCACGATTAAGTTGATTCCAAATTTCTCATATACATAGGAAAATAAGTATGCTACCTACATACATAACTTTTACTCTAATCCAATTAATAGATTTCAAGAAAACTTAAAAACTCTCACTAGTTCTAAAATTCTACTTCTGAGACCCTGATCCACTTAAACTTCAATAATCCTTAATTCAACCATTAGATCAAGCTAAAATTTTTAATATATATTAAGTACAATTTTAATCATTGACCTACAAAATTTTATCTATAGATCTACTATAAAACTCCTGAAATTGCCCAAAATATCAATCCACTTTTATTTCACAAAAATCCGAGTCATCCAAAACAATCTTGACTTTGTAAGGCTCTTATCATGTCATTACAAATCCAAATCATACAAAATCAATGCTCATAGAAGCCTTATCAAGTCAACTATCAAATCCCACTCTTTGATTTCTAAAAGAACCCTAAAGATATTGTATGTGTCTTGTTTTGTGCCTCAAGATTTGATTTCAATCCAGGTTGATAATTGGTCCTCTCCAAGTATCAATTCTTGGCTTCTTGAAGTATATTTTTCTAAAATCTACTCTTAATGCCTTCTTTAACATGCTTATATCATTTAATTTTTTAATTTACTTTTTTTTATTTTCTTTATAGCCCTACTATCACGGCTATAATCATGTAAGCTAATAATTACATATATAAATAGGTAGAAGTAAGTAAAAGTAGATAAAAGTAAGTTAATTCTATAATATTTAATATAAAAGCTTCCTAGAAACTTCCTAGATGTTGCTTTGACTTCATAGGTATCTTTAATTGACTTTTTGGATTAGAAACGTGGTCAACAAGTTGGCCATGTGCCACACATGTTGTTAGCTTGAAGATCAAGCTAACTATGTGGCCCACTCGTAGAAAAACTTGTCTTGTAAGTCAAGGCATGTGTCCTACAAAGTCAACACATATTGGAGGTCCTATTGAACGTCGCCACGTAGCCCCTAGTTAGATAGTATATATAGAGACAAGAGTGAAGGCTTCTTCACTCTTGTCAACTCCTTTCTTGCTTCTAGTCCAGGTTCAAGAGTCTTTAGTTTCTTGTCTTGTGGCAATAGCCATTCCAGTTTCCTTTTAATATACCTACTTGTTTATATTTTGACTTATTATATCGAGATAGCCTTTTTGTGTATATTTTCCCTCATCGAGTCTTTGTCCTTGACACCTACAAAGAAATAGAAGTTCATTTTGTTATAGGTAATATTAATACTTTTTAATTTTACTACCCTTTTGACTATTATCTATATTTCTAAGATAATTTTCTATAATATTTTGATTTAAGATCTTCTATAATATAATAATTTCTACACTCTTTTATCTATTAGTTGTATTACATCATGAAAACATTCTATAAGACTTCCAAAAATGTGTTGACTTTGCATAACATGTATGTTAATTTATAAGGGAATTTTTTCATATGGGTGCCACATATTTAGCTTGTTCCACAAGCTATCAACATATATAGCATATAGTTAGCTTGTTGATCAAGTTTTTAATCTATCAATCAACTAGAAATATATGTAAAGTCAAAACAACATCTAAGAAGCTTTTAGGAAGCTTTCCTAGAAGGTATTATGAAATTAATCTACTTTTACTTAATTTTACCTATTCATATTATTTAGATAATAATTATAATGAATATATATCCATGATACATGTACAATCTATAATTATATTATATTAATATCTTTTAACAATTTATGTACATTCAAGTTGATTAAAAAATAAATTTTTAACTTTATTTGTTTCATTATATTTACATATACAATAGTATGTAGCATTTATATATACTAATATGTAAAGATTTTCTATTAAAATAAAAATATTCAAACAACTATGAAAATCAAGCTAACAAAGATATTGGTACTTATTAAAGATAGTTTGTACAACCACATAACTTATATAATTTTCTTAGTTCATTGTAGTAATGTCATAGACATGCATATTTATTTTAATATTTATCTATATAATTAAGTAGAAGTAGGTAAAAGAAGATTTATTTCATAATATTTACTAAAAAAGCTTCATAAAAGCTTTATAGATATTATTTTCACTTTACATATGTTTGTAGTTGATTGATAGGTTGGAAACTTAGTCAACAAGTTTACCACGTGTTTATAGCTTGCGGAACAAGCTAACTATGTAGTGTACATATAAAAAATTAGCCGTGTAAGTTAAGATATATGTCTTGCAAAGTCAACATTTTTTGGAGGTACTATAGGATATTTCCACATAATTCCTAATTAAAAGTTGCAAATCTATTCTTTCTTTATTTGTATCTTTAATAGAAAAAGATTTATGACTCCTTTATGATTTGAAATCATTCTTAGAAGTGTTTTCGACTACATTTGGAGAAAGTGATCAAGAAAGAGAATTAGAGACCAAGCTCTTATCTTTACAACAAGGATCACGGTCAACCACTATATATGCTACTAAATTCTATAATCTCTCTTGTAACATGGACTGAAATGACAAAGCCTTTATCAAACAATTTTGATATGGATTGAAGGATAATATCAAAGATTTGTTATTGGCAATGTTGAAAACAAAATCTTTTGAAGAATTTATTACTCAAGCCATTACATGCAACAATCAAATATTTGAAAGACATTAAGAATAAAGACTTGGCCAAAGAGAAAAAAGTCAAATAATAATGGCAACTCTCAAGTTTTTAAAAACTAATTGCCAATGTTTATCTATATACAACCAATATGTATATAGCTCAAATAGGCAAATATCAACCGCATAGTTGAGTTATGGTGACGAAAGAAGTTAACATTAAGCATATTATAAGTACAACCTTTGTCAAAGTGATGCCAATAAATAATATAACTTTAAGCGTGCGTAAATCTATCTAAGCTTCACTACATATCTTTGAATATATCAAATGATTCTTCTAATAGAGAAACCATATTAAGTAAAATTTTTATTTTGGAATTGAACAATTGAAAATAGCTACTACTTCTCTTTCCCTAAATAAAAAATAGCAAAGCAAAGAATTGTAAAATTAATATTATTAAAGCACAAGAAGGTGAAAGACGATTGTACAAATTCAAAGCCGCAATGAAGTAGGTAACATGAGCATTTAAACACATAACACTGCATTCTTATTATTCATTATAACTACCAATTTGTGTCTCTATGATTGTACTATTTCTATACACTTAATAACCACATTTGTACCAATTGATCTTCTAATGATGGTTATAGGAACAAACTATACCTTAACAATCTATTTTTGATTTTTGATTCATGTACATACTTGTATAATTTGATGGCGATTTATTTTTTAATGACTCTAATGACAAGTAGGTTGATTGAATGATTCGTGGAATCCATTTGACATTCCCTAATATATATATATATATATACATATATACACACACATAGAGACATTCACATGTATTTTTAAAAAACAATCTACCACATATTTTCATGGCCCAAAACTACCCACTCTAAAAAAAAAAAGAAAAAAAAAAAGAAAAAAAAAAAGAAAAAAAAAAGGTTTAATAAACCAAGACGAACACTGTTAACCCACATGCATGAGTGTAAGCGCACATTGACGGCAGCCAGAAGGCAAAATATCTGGTGACGACCAGGGGAAGCGACGAGAGTAGTAGTGACTAGTGACCAGGAGGCGACCTGACGGATCGAGCTCCACCACAAGAAAGGGCAGGCCATCTCAGCCCCATGCAAGTGCTACACCCCACATCTCCTCACAATTCGTCCCCCGCCCCCCAAGGCAACCAAGCGTCAGCCATTCGCTCCCCCAGTCGAACTCCGCCGCGACCCTTCCGCGCTTCTTCGCGGCGCCGATAGCGTCGGCCCCGCACCCCCGCGGCGCTCGGATGCTGGAACGGAAGTTGCTGGGGCGGCCGAATCTTCCAGTGGAGCCTGGTCTCGACGTCCTTGATGAAGCTGGACGTGTGCCTGCCCTGCGAAAGCGCAAACCGTCGCGATAAGTATGTAAGAAACGGCTGACGGTTCACTTCGGTATAAGGGAATCTCTCGCTCTCATATCAGCTCACATTTGAGCTGATCGGAAGGCTCTGGTGTTGATAGTGGACCGTGACGCCGCCTTCGAGTTTCTGTTAGGGGCGAAGTGAGAGAGAGAGCATTGTGCGCGAGAGCAGAAGTAGGTATGGCGTTGAAGGTTGCATCACTGGAGGCGGCTGTTATGGCTAGTCTAGCGCCCGCGGCGTCCACTTCGGCGTCTCTGTCACGCCAATCGATTGTTTCAGGTTTGTGGCTGGCGTGGTCGTTGTTTTTCCTGGGATTCGATGCTTTGTTGTGGTTTATAGATTGCGGTTTGGGGACGTCGGGTTGAGGTTTAGTGTGTGATGCGGTCAGGACTGGTGTTGAGTGGGGTGTGGTCGTGGGTGGGGTCGGCGGCTTTCGGAAGTGGTTGGCTGTGTGCGCTTCTTTGTGGGATTTGCAGAGTTTTTGTAAGTTGCGCAGGCTCTGTGCGGTGTCGTTATTTGATTAGGCGTTGCGGACTCTCTCGCTTGCCGTGAACAGGGTTGGCTTTTAGAGGGCAGAATGGGTTTCAACTCGGAGGATTGTCCTCCGCCGGGGTTTCGTCGCGAAGCCTGGCGTTGGGCGGTAAGAAGATCGAACTCGACATCGCTCAGCCTCGCAGAATGCTGCCCGTTTCAGCAACTGCTGTGGTTTCTGGTAAGTTCGCTTGAAGTTCTAGTGTTCCCTCAAACCTTGATACGTTTTTGTAATGTTCGATTTGGAAGGGGTAATTGTAGAGTAAAGCGTAGGCCGGAATGCGGTGCCTATTCGTCGTCAAGATAATTTTAGAATTTGATGGAAGGTGTCGTCGTACAATTACTCGCGTGTACATGTGAAATGACTATCTTTTCATCTCAAACTGGCAAATTTAAAGTACTAGTTACAGCGTACTGGCTGGTTATCTAAATTACAGGCTTGCGAGCTTATGTTTTCTTTTTACCATGTGCAGAGTCTGTGCAAAGCACCGTTGATATCCCCAAGCTGGCGGAGAAATTAGACTCCGCATCTCCTCTAGAGATTATGGACAAAGCTCTTTCACTATTCGGTGACGACATTGCCATCGCGTTCAGGTACGTATCAATTACGTTCAAGTGCTTATCAGCGTTTCCTGCTATTCTGAGACGACTATGTCGAATAACTGCAACAAACTCGTTATTCTATGAAAACTGTTTTAATATCCCCACGCAGTAATCCGAGAAGTGGAGAAGATGAAAGTTCTTATAATGCCTACCTGACTTGATTCTTGATTGTCCGGTTGCAGTGGAGCTGAAGACGTAGCGTTGATCGAGTACGCACACCTTACAGGCCGCCCCTTCAGGGTATTCAGCTTGGAGACTGGAAGGCTGAACCCCGAAACCTTGAAATTGTTTGACGACGTGGAGAAGCGCTACAACATTCGCATTCAATACATGTACCCTGACGCCGCAGAGGTTGAGGAGCTTACGCGGACTAAGGGCTTGTTCTCCTTCTATGAGGACGGGCACCAAGAGTGCTGTAGGGTGCGGAAAGTGAGGCCTCTTCGTCGGGCTCTCAAGGGATTGAAGGCATGGATCACTGGACAACGTAAAGACCAATCCCCCGGAACGCGTGCCAACGTTCCCGTTGTACAGGTTATCATTGCAACCTAATCGCTCTATAACTAGTAGTAATCTTGTGAAGCTCGGGTCAAATTCTGTACTTTTTTCACTTCTATCAACCTTGAAACTACGGAATCATTGTATTTTTACATATTTCTAGAACAATTCAGTCCAACCTTTCTCGGTGAATGCTGTGGATTCATACCAGGTGGATCCTGCTTTTGAGGGCCTGGATGGCGGTCCTGGAAGCCTTGTGAAGTGGAACCCGCTGTCAAATGTTTCGGGAACTGCCGTATGGTCGTTCCTGCGCACCATGGATGTCCCTGTCAACGCCCTGCACTTCAAGGTTTGTGTACTCTCCGACACAATAAGTTTTCGGAAGAAGTGTACATTTATGAATATCGTAACTAGTTGGATCAGAATTCTCGAGAGCTTCTGTACTAACAGCGCTTTGTGTTACAGGGTTACGTATCAATTGGGTGCGAGCCATGCACAAGGGCTGTACTGCCAGGGCAACATGAAAGAGAAGGCAGATGGTGGTGGGAGGATGCAAAGGCCAAGGAATGTGGTCTTCACAAGGTTAGGAATAAATCTTCAACACGTACAAGTTCTGGAAACTCGTATGCGGTTTGTCTCAATTCTGGTAATAAATTGCGTGGTTGTCGCGTCAAATCTAGTCTATATATGTTAACCGAATTTGACTGGCGCGTTAAGTCTAGACTGTAGATTCTAGCTTGTGCGATCGATAAAGTACACTGCTATTTTTATCAATGAAGTGTCTACGAGGGGTTTTTGGCCCTATGTTTTCAAGCTGAACCATCTTCAACCTTCTGCTTAATGTATGCTCTACTAAATAGCGTGATGCTGGTTCTGTATCCAGGGTAACCTTGATGGTGTTGCCGAGTCCTCCAACTCTCTCGGAGAGAAAACTGAAGTTGCCGATCTTTTCATTAGCGAGAATGTGGTGACATTCGGACGGGAGGATATGGAAGCCTTGGTGAAAGGAGAGAACCGTGACAAGTCATCACTAGTTGTGTTGTATGCGCCTTGGTGCTCCTTCTCTCAGGTACATTTACCCCATCCTCAGTTTCTCCCTTTCAATGTGTCATATTAGCAGCAAACCATCTACGTTTCTAGTATTGATTTTACCTGTTGATACTCGGTCACAATTGCTTTATACCAATGTTGAATAATGCAATGTGTCTGTAAGTGCTTTTGCAAGCAGAATATGGAATTGTAACCTAAAACTCAGTTTCATGTCGTCCATTGTATCTAATTAGTCCCTGTATTGTTTCCTAGACTTGCATCTACTTAGTCTGAACTAGTCACAGAAGCTAACACAAAATGACACTGCCCGAGAGGGAGATTGTGGCTAATTCAAGCGCTTTTTTGACAGGCAATGGACGAGTCCTACAACGACGTGGCAGAAAAGTTGGCGGGATCTAATGTTGTGGTACGTGGCAACTAGCACCATCAATAAGTGCAGAATGAGATACGCCAAATTTTCCGAATCTATCACTTTTTGTGTTTTGTCTTATTATTTGGTCAACGTAACAGTCCGAAGGGTCTTTCAGTCTAATCTTTGAAAAGACGTGTACCTAGTCTGGAGTTGCGCTTTTGTCACAACTGAGATTGTAGAAATAGAGTGCTGAATGTTGGCTTCTGGTGTTGAACGGAATAGGTCGGCAAGTTCAATGCTGATGGAGCTCAGAAAGCCTACGCAAAGGAGAACCTGCAGCTGCAAAGCTACCCAACCGTCCTCTTCCTCCCTAAGAACAGTAGCCAAATTATCAAGTACCCATCTGAAAACCGCGAGGTAGATGCTTTGCTTGGGTTTGTGCAAGCATTGCAATAACTTTGGTTCTCCAACATTGCAGTACTGTACACTAGTAGGTAGTGGTGAACACCGTTTTGAAGGTGACGCCGCTCGTTTATTGCTGTTGCACCGAGCATGCATATTCCGATGACCAGGGGTTCCTTTTAGGGACAGATCTAATGCAAATGCTGAGACCATTTTTTTCCTATTTGTTTACTCTTCTACTTCAGTGAATGAATGGACGTTTCTAGTAGTTCGTGGCACTCCGAAGCTTGTCGCCCTGATTAGTAAAATAAGCTTCCGAACAATATTTGGTCTCTAGTTTCTGCCAAAATATCTGAAGAGGTTTTAAAAATAATTTAAATGGGTGTGCATTGATCTAAGAAAGTTGGGAGCCTCGAAGAATCTAGAATTATATACCCATCCTATATCTTGTTTCTGGAATCTCTTCAATAAAAAAATCCACATTTTTTCTTGTTTCAATTGGAATGTCAGTTTTTTATGTTCTTAATGTTTGTTTTAGGCACATTTTGATTCTGAATTGTGAAATTTTATTAGTCGAAGGATTCTGAATACTTAAATTTTGTTGTAGTGCCATCTTATTGAATTTGATTTGTCTGAAATATATTTTAATGTTTCTTGAGGAATATAAAATATATTTAAAAAAAAATAAAAAAAAAAACATATATAGGTATTATTTTCGTAAACAACTTAGTGGAATAATCAATACCAGTGGACACTAAAGAAATAGATTATTTGAAATAGGAAGGATGAATTGTAAATGTAACATGTTCAAGTGTTACAAGGCGATTTTTTTATTTTTAACTTTTTCTCTTCTAAAAAGCCTTGCAATTATTCTATACATTTTCAATCTTTCTTAAGAGGTTTTACAAACAAATCTCTAGATTCAACCTACAAATAAATATTGCCTAGTAGATTATCATTTTGCAAAGGTTAAATCTACCACAAAAGACTGCCCTAGTTTGCTACCCCTTTGTTCAAATATTTCTACTTTTTGAAAAGGCATACACTAAGAGAGTAGACAAGGTGAGGCCACAATTTTTAAAACGTTTCATTGGTTGAAATTGTAAAGCTTCACTTAATTAGCTTTAAATTTAAAAGAAATCAATCTAAAGGTGAGGTGGGATGTATTTTTTTTTGTATGTAGTGTTGTCTCTAAGAATAAGTGTAGCATAAATAGTGATGTCTCTAAGAATTTCTAGTGGGCCCATCTCAAGAGATGGTTTTTTTTAGAATAATAATAAGCTATGTCAAAAATAGTTATAAAATAAACTTAACAAATTATTTAATTAATTAATCAAATTTTTTTGCACTTCTCATAAATGTCAAAATAAAGTTACAATCTAAAATGTTTAGACTTGTAACAATAGAATGATTTGGTCTATATTTTAGGCTTCTTCTCACTTTATACTAAGAATTTCAAACTAATATTTTTTTAATCACCAAGTGGGGGATCTCATTAGTAAGGCTTTTGAACCTTAGTCTTTCAAAGTGGGATTCTAGGTATAAATAATTTAAGATCCCTTAAAAAGTTTTTGTGCATAACTATAGAGGCACTTGATAACAAGAAAGTCAGAGTTTTGATGATGGTGGTGGCCATTATTAATCTCATGCATTGATTGCACTCTAACACCATATTATTTTGGAGATTTAGAATTTTCACTTAGGCCACTTACACTTGGTCTTTCTACGGACTATTCTTATGATTGAAGAAATCTTATCACTATTAAGCAATGCACTACTAAATTAAGCAAGCATTCTCAAGTTTGTTGGACCTACCTAGGCTCTTTATTTAGATAAATATTGATTTTATATATTTATATTTTTTCTGTTTAATTTAGAAGTTGGTTTTCGATTGCCTTTTTTGGATCATAAATTCAATTTGATTGCCTTTTTTGGTCACCAATCTTGTAGTACATAAAACACTACAAGTGAATTTTTTGCCAATAGTTCATGAATCAACGAAGAGGAGAAACTGAGAGTCTCCCTTCATTTAAAAGAATGCAGAACAATTTAAAAAACCTGCCCAATGCCGCAGGATTTCCATGAGGTGATCTCCTATTCTGATTTTTTCCAATCTATGTGGCCGTCCTTTCATGTTTCAGCTCTGAATCATGAGTAGGGAATGGGGAGACGCAAAGAAAACATTGGAATATGCTATCCAAAATTCCTTTTAGTATACACGCTCTACTGTTGAAACAGGCTTGAGGAATACAACAATTACCGTGATGTTATCACGACTGCCACGTTCCACAGCCTCCGTTGCTAATCTCTTGGAAACCATGCTCGGCTCCTTCACAGTATCTTTGATAATAGCAACGACGTCGTCGTTTGGCATTGTCTCCCACAACCCGTCACTTGCGAGTACCTGCACCAGGTTTCACCAAGTTATCAGTTCAAACAATGATCGAACTTATAGTGGTAGGCTTAGGACATCGACAACAAACGTTGGCTTGATCATGAAATGGCTGGTCACAGCCGAGAACTGATTTGATCAGATATACAAAACAGTATCTATTTGATAAACTCATATGACAGCTTTATTTATATATCGAAAAATAAAACAAAACAAAATTTAAAGTCAAGACAAGAACAAAACAATAAAATAAAACAAATGAAACGAAGTCATTTTGAAAGCAAGGAGACTTTACCAGAAACTCATCATCGCCACTCAATTTGCATACAGCTACTTCCGGTTCCGCAGTAACATACGGTTTCAGATCATCATCTCCGATTGATCGCGTGACCTATCAATGAGTTGCATTGAAACTTCATATGAATTGAAAAGCAAGCGGATTGAAAACTTAAATCTCTATCGAACTACAATGGGCTATGCCAGTGGTGATGACTCGCATTGAAAAGGTAGCATGTGAGTACCTCAATAGCAGCTGAACCAACCCTCCACGTATTCACTCTCCAACTGACAGACCCACCAGCTTTAATTACTCGTTCACGCTCACTGCTGCAGCTCGCTGTATGATCCTGAGGCGATCCAAAAAATAAAAAATAAAAAACAACACGGATATCGTAGAATAGAATTAGTTTTGGGACAGAGCTTGGTGACAAAAAGACAAACCAAAGAGTGCAGTCAACGGTAAAACGACGGTTTTAACATAAAATTTTAGAAAAAGAGAATGAAATGTACCATGCTAAGAGGAATAGCTTTTCCATTTCTGCATAAAATAGTTCGACAATCTCCAGCGTTGGCAACGTATAGTGTATCTTTTACAAGAAGCGCAGTGGCAGCAGTACACCCAGGGTGCCAATCGAAGCCACCGCCTTTCCTCCGTTGGCGTTGGCCGTCTAACTCTCGGCGGAAAGCCACATCTATTTCAATGAATGCACTAGACAAAGCGTCCTGCGGGCTATTATCAACCGAGAAAACAACAAAATGATTAGACGTGTCTTCTAAAATGGATCAAACCTTCTCAGCAACATTAAAATTGGCCAATGTGTCATGCCCAAGAATTTACGTGCTTACTCAATCAGAGTAAGTACTGGATAGCTTTCAGTGGAATCAGAGCATATAAATACTGGCTTCAACAACATTTCTTCCAAGTCTTACAAGTTGAAAAAGATAAATTGGTAGTCATACAGAGAAGTATGAAGACACTTCTTTCGCCACTTAAATCACGTATACCTGAAAGTTGAAGCCTTTGATACCAAAAGCTGGGGCATTGCGATAGCTGCGAATTCTGCGGCCTCAGGCCCTAATCCATATGAAAACACACAACAAATCAATTCACCCGTGAAAGGAGTAGCAAGATTGTTAGGCTACCAAACTTACCAGAACTTTACCCGACACGAGATCATGCTGAATCTCAAAAGATACAAGAGACTACCTCTATGCCCATCAAAGACACCAAAAGCATGAACATTAAGAGCTCCTCCGAGTTGAAACTTCAAGAAGTTTGTGTCCTCCATTGTTTGCCTTGCACCTTTTGTTGAGAATGATCCCACGGAGAGTACCGGAAGATAGCTTGCATTATCGGTTGTTTGGTTAAGCCAACCAAGAGATGAGGATGATTGCTCTGGGACACTCGAGCTCAACCCTTCAACGGCCCGAGAGGCCCAGTCTACATCCGTTCTTTTTTGCTGGGTATAATTCAAAACCGACTCCAATCCATTGCTCTCACCATTGGATAGAGTAGTAGCAACATCTACTTCCCCAGTAGATTTTTCAACCGATTTCTTCTCAGAGAATAGCTTTGCAGTGATCATATCCAAAGACTCCACTATATAGTCAAAAGATGGACGCTTTGCAAGGTCGCCATGCCAACATATTTCAATTAAGGAAGACAACGCTGACGGAGTTCCAGACTCTGGACCTGCAAGTACTGGTCTCAACCCTTGAGAAGTTACAGCCGCAGAAAGTTGTTGCTCCGAGTAATTCATTTCCAGTACCGTATGTGCCTGCCATCAGACCAGAACCCACCTCACGATATCAAGGAGATATTAAAGATTTCCAGACTTGTTTTCGATTACACAGGAATAAATTGAAAATCCCGCATGCGTAAAGGTTCCTTCGTATTCAGATAATGCACCATGCCGTACATCTCCTAAGAAACCATGATTAAGACAGTACAAAGAGAAGTGTAGCTGTTAAGCAAGCTACCTGCGCTGCAGTCTTCCGATCAGTGTATGGCACAACGCCTGTAATAAGTTCACTGCCAACAATTCAGTCAAGGAGCATTTCAGTCGAGAACTTTTCAGATCAGAGAGAAACAGTTAGCACATTCTGACTGCAACATTTCCTGTTGCGCCTTTAACTGCGGACCATAAACTGCAAGAAAATAAATGTGAAGAAGAGCATACATTTTCATAAATGCACACGCGCTCTTTCTTGAACGAAAGAGAAATAGTTGATTTAGAAAACATCTAATGTTTAGAATTAGAAGGGGATTGATGTTCAAAAATTTGCATTGAAAAGTTATAAGTAACGATCAATTTTTCTTACTAAAAGCCGAACAAAGACCATCCCAATCTTTACAGCTACTTACTTGAGAGTGATGCCGTATCCATACACATCAGATTTCTCTGATTGCACATCTTTCCTGAGGACTTCTGGAGCCATATATAAGAGGGTACCAACCATATTCTTTTTATGAAATCCGCCAGTGGGCTTCCCTGAGGATTTCCAGTTCTCTATGCTATGCTTTGAAAGGTCTGCAACCTTTGCAGCAAGCCCAAAGTCTGCTAAATATGCATCCCACTTGCTGTCAAGCTGCAAACCACCATGCGTCAACAATCACCCAACAAGCTTAAGTCAAGTCCTCACCACATTCTTTACAAAATTTAAAGTAATTTTTTCTATCCATTTAACATAAGCAAAAGCTCAATATGCAAAGTTACAACTATCAGCTTGGAATGGAGTAAATCACCAGAATATTTGCAGGCTTCACATCTCGGTGCACAATACCCTCCTTGTGCAAATATTGCAGGGCCTTCGCTGCAGGCCCCCCACCTTGAGATTTAGTAGTTTTTACCAAGTAATTAGAGATTGTCTTTACATTAACAGCACCTTCAATCATGATTAACATTTACATTCTCGCAACAATTGAGAATCCATAAGGAACAACATGAGCAGCTCATCGAGGACAAACATTTGATCATTACCACAGAGCACTAGACTAACCTAATTGTGTTGCAATGGACAAAACTTGGTGCAAAGTGGGTCGCCACTCAGATACGTGAAGCGCATTTCCCAGATTCCCATGCTCATAAAAATCATACAAGAAGTAGTAATCGGGTGGATGAGCACGTGCACCAATCAACGTAGCTATGTTTGGATGCTTCAAATTACTGCGATACAACCAGATATTATGAAGGTCAATACAATGTGACCGATATATGCTTCAAAATAAAGGTTTCTAACTTAAAGATTTAAGATGAACCCCTTCAAGGCGAAACAAGATGTTCGTTTCGAAAACCTAGTCAAAGGTGGAGAAGAAAGAATGACTAACCTCAACACCTGCAGTTCTGTGTGGAACCGATCCATGTCATTTGTCGTAGATAAACGTGGCTTTTTCGCCGCTACAGTTTTGCCTTGAAATCGGGCTTCATATACTACACTTTCAGCCCCTGTACAATTGAATCGATTTCAAAATTGCAATAGCCCACAGTCACAAGAATCTTAAAATGAATTGCCAACTAAGAAGCAAATTCAGCCCTCTAAATTGTAAATAATTCATACATGGACTGAGATTTGGAGGCGACTTCTTCATATGTCCTTCCAAACAGTTTCTAATCCTTTCATATTCTTCATCCATATTAGAAAAAGGTTTCATGAATCTTTGTGACATTAGAGGCGAATTTTTTGAAGGCGCAGTTCATACATGCTACTTCCAAATGTAAGAGTGGAGAAACGCATAGAGAATTTACTAACCACGCGCAATCTCGGAGACGATTTGGATGTCGGACTTGGGAATTGCCAGAGGCAGGTAATCGCTGCTACAACATCCTCGCACACAAGTATTGGAGGAATCTTGCTTTTGAATGACCGACGGTGCCATTAGTAGCAACCTACAAACCCTCTAACCCTTGAGATGCTGTTCTCTTACACCTCGCTTCTATATATTCCTCACTTCGAAGCTCAGGTATGTTGAAATTCCTACATATGATCGCAAATTTCGTGGTGACTGATTGAACTTTCCAGCAGGCCTTGACAATGTTCGCAATTGCAAACTCTACGACCTTTTACTCACATTCGCGAAACCAAAATAAACAGAATACTTCCCAATAAATCAATCAACAAGCCCTTCAAATTACAGAAACAAAAAAAACAAGACAAAGACCACCCAGAAACAAGCAGCAGTACACACTACATGCCGCGCGCTAGGTTCCACGCCCTTGCAAGATTAAAAAGATATCAAAGATCACGACAAAACCTGAGCTTCCAAGACACTCAGCAGCTTGGCCTCAAATCGCATAACATCACAACCAGGAAGACAACTTTGACTACATAAAAAGCAGTAGGAATTCGCGCGACATTGTCGAACGCTGGGAGACGTGAGAGAAAGTGAGCCACAAGTCTCGAAACGTAAACCTGCGTACTTTAAAGTTTCAATCAAGCTTCTGCCTCGAATCCTGCAGCTTGTGCTGAATTTCATTCCTGCCACGTTTATCTCGCTGCACTGCAATCGGTGTCTCCACGTAGTGAGTCTTGGAATTCGAACGCGCGAAGGGTTTCTAATTTTGGGGCGCAGAATTCTCTTTACAGATTGGTTTGAAGTGCATGCTTCAGAAAGAGCTTGTTTGCAAACAGAGACTGTCTCGGCCTAAGACTGTTCAGATTTGCAAAGTTTTGATATCTATGGCATCGGCAGCCCTCCTTAGCTCTCCATGAACCGAATTCCACATCGCCACACGGACTCAACTCTCTAATCTCCCAGGACTCTCCTCATCAATGGGCTTGTGGGACATTTTCACAGGCGTGGTTGAATGCGCCGCTTAGACCTTGACGGGTAGCTTTGGGGAGCAATAAATTAGTGTTACATGCGTTTTGCAAGAACCCCTTTTGGTTGATGTAATCAGAGAAGGTGTTAGCTGGGGTTATCACGCAATGTGAGAATCATGTGAAGCGTTTGAACATGAAGGCGCGGATGTTCTTAGAAGTAAAATTAGGTCTTGCATGAACGATGCGGAGCTAATCCTACTTCTAAGACAGCATGCACGCTGCGTAGCGCGTCGTTGTGCCGCTGAAATGCTTCTTGTCCCTGTTCAATGGAATTCAATATAGGCGCTACTTTTTTCTGCAATTTCCAGTAGCTAAGAGCGCCTTTGTTTCCGATGTGGGCACACAAGGAATCCCCCTTACTCGAGTTTCACAGCCTTTTTCGGGCATTACTTGGCACTTGTGCGAAGCCCTAATTTTAGCAGGTACGTGAGGTTCAATGCAGTGCAAGCGGTAGACGTTTATTCTCATCTTCCCACTTCTTGCAGAGTACACATTCACAACTCATGGTGGAATTGGCTTTGAGCTCCCGGTGATGTTCTCCGACACTGCGTTTCTATTCTCAGTGACGTGCTTACTGTTTGGTGTAGTTTGCATTCACGGCAAGTCCCCAATATTGCCCTTACTGACCGAGTCTGCCAATCAGCAAGTGCAATGACCAGATGATAAACTACGTTTGGTTGCATTAGTGATTAGCATGTGTCTCATATTAAATGGTCTCAGAATTAGGATTAGGTCTGAATCCTTTCCAATGCATACAAGTATCCTCAGCGTGTCCTTAATATTCGTAAGTCATCTTTAAGTGAGGGTTTTTGTAAATGACATTTGTCTTCGAGATTGTACTTGCTGATTTTTAAAAAAATTAAAAGAATTGATTGACGTTGTTTCTGAACGTTTTAGGTTCAACAGTTACACATTCTTTGTCTAGCAAGAGTTGTATTTCCTTTGTCGTTCTGTGATGAGAGGATAATGTTACAAGAGCCCGCTAGTCGAACACGAAAGAAAAGATAAGTAGAATTATAATTGTTTCCAAGCTATTCCCGTGTACTTTTATTCATCTGTGTGCGTCTCTTGCATAGGATATGGGAACTGGGTGCCCTTGACTGTATTTAAAGTTATAAGCTTTAAAACCAATTTTAGCACTAGCTTTTTCACATGGCAAAAGTGATGATTTGCTTCAGTCGACAGGGGTTTTCTCTGCACCCCATTAAGGCACTGCCACCATTTTAGAAGGACGAGAAAGTGATTTGCTCATGCACTTGTAGTCAATCGTAGTTTAGAGAGTCTGTCTCTATCTCTTATAGAGCAGCATTTGTATTCATGTATCGTGGGCACTGGGCTTTGATGAATTAAACCATACGACTTCTGTTTTATCAGCTTGTTTCTGGTTGCTTGTATTCTTCCTTTCTTTGGTACGATACTGTTACTTGCTGCTTTGTGGTGCATTAGTTTCGTTTTCGATGGTGCATGATGTTGCGTGTCGACTTCATCATATGTAAGCTCGATGCTTGTCAGAGCAGCATGGTCTGGGCACATTTGCTATCACAGTGCATTGGAAGCTGGATGATCATATCGTGCAAAGAGTCACATGGTCGCTGTCTAACATAAACACAAATTGGTCCAAGAATCTCTAGTCTAACTCTCCAAGATATCCTACTTCATCTTGAACTTGTCAACTTGCATTGCTGTTCATGTTAATTGATTGATTCTGATTGCAAATCCGGAAGCACTCACCCCGTCAAAGCAAACTTTCGTGGATGTTTTATCCACATGGACATGACTCATGCATTTTGGCTCTTACCAGAAGCTGGAGTATGTGGCAAGAATATCCTTCCCATTTTCATAGCTAGGAAAAACTACTTTCCTGTCTTCTATTGAGAGATGCTGTGAGCAGAATGGCCTGCTGCTGCTGGAGCTACTTGTTGATCTACTTGTTCTTGTGTGTCATTCAGCACCGACGGTCTGTTGTAAACTGCATCCTTTGTCAGTGACCATTACTGCGTCGTTGGATTTTGTTGGTCACTTCCCCGTATCAAATCCTTGTAGACGTAGATCCCAAAGCTGAATCAGCACAAAATTTTCTGCAAGGGCCCGCTTCTGATCGATGTACCTTCTGACAGGGAAATGATAATCTGACCAGATCGGACAATGAACCATCTTCTATTATGTAATGATTCGTTCATACTGGATCCCGGAAGATGCTTGATTCGGAGTTTACTTCTCGAGAAACTTACCAACCAATCTCAACTAATCGATTGGAGACAAACTTTTCCCATTAGCATGAGCAGTTTCCAAGAAGTACTAAATTTCTCTGAATCTCTCCAAGAATCAGGGTAGAACTGTGAAGTACCAAACAGCCCTTAGTTCGCTACATGCCCACCCTGTTGCGTCAAAATTTGCCAGGTTGAAAAGCATTCTCATGACTACCTTTAATGGCTTCCATGCTATGTTCTGACGTTGATTTGCACAATAATGGAGTAGGCACTCCATCTGCTTAGAGCTGCAACTATTTCTTCCAACGACGCGATTAGCAATATTTGAAATTGTTGGTGTAATCGAGGAATGACCTGTGTCTGGATTAACTGCGGATGCCATTAAGCATGCTGTCGAAGCGGACACGATTGCATAGCATACATGCCTCACAATCGGAGAGGTTTATAGAATAGGCAACACATGAAAAGCGCATGGGCTTCTGAGTACCCTGCCGGTAGTGTAAATGGCAGACTGTTTCAGAAGGTAGGTTCCCGAGGAATTCAGAGTAAGATGACAGGGCAAGACAGGATGCAGAGTTGACCTGATTGACTTCGCCGGCATTCCCACACTGCTAGTTGAAATATTTCTGTCGACTCCTTGTTGAGAGGTCCACCAGCTGGATGAGGCCGTCAGCAGCCCAACCATTGAGCTGAGACTGTTCATGCTGTAGCTTCTGAAAGCTGCGATTTGGAAAAGGTCGCCCGATATTAAATGAAACCTGTACTCGATTTGATCAACGACCCTGCTGAAGGGTATATTTTTCAGTGGCATCGTAACTAGTTTGGAAGCAATTCCCTGGAGTATATAAACACTGGGACGAAGAGAACGAATTTTGTGGACATATCATTCAATCAAATTAATTCCTACCCAGCGAAGCGCAGAAGGGGTGGAAGTCCCTCTTGCTAATCGGTTCATGCTGCTGTTTTCTCTGACTGGCATTAGCATTCACCATTCGGTTACAAAGCGAACAAAGGAACAATGAAGCTTCTCAAGACTGGAACTCATGCTGCTGTAGGATGTGTATTGCTGGTGTTGTTGATTCTGCAAACGGAGGCGACCATGGTGCGGCACAACTGGACCGTGGATTACATGTTCTCGGCGCCGGATTGCGTGGAGAAGCTGATAATTGCAGCCAACGGGCAGTATCCATCGCCTCCAATTTTTGCTGTGGAAGGGGATACGATCGTGATCGAAGTGACGAATCACATTCCTACAGAGGGCATTGTGTTTCATTGGCACGGCATTTATCAGGTGGAGCTAAATCCAACATTGGGAAGGAACCTTCTGCATTCAAGCTCGAAATGAAGAACGAATCACATGTGTTGTGCTACAGCTACTCAGTCGAAGCTTAGATTAGTCTGGAACTTGAGAAATTGATCACACCTGTGTTGTACCTGCAGAAAGGAACACCATATTACGATGGAGCCGCTTATGTGTCCCAATGTCCAATTAACCCAGGAGAGACTTTCACGTACAAATTCAAAGTCGACAGGGTGAGCTAGCTTGACACTTGAGGTTGGTCAAATTTCAGGTGCAGCTTGATCGGTCACCACACAGTGGCTCCTAAATAGTGTGGTATTGACAAGATAAGTGAACATGGCCGTGTGTAGGCTGGGACGTATTTCTACCATGGCCACTTCGGAATGCAGCGATCAGCGGGACTCTACGGTTCTCTCATTGTAACATTGCCGGATCACAAGAAGGAGCCGTTCTCATACGACGGCGAGCACAGACTCCTTCTCAACGACTGGTGGCACAAGTCCATTTATGAGCAAGAGCTCGGTCTCAACAGCGTTCCCTTCAGATTTGTGGGCGAGCCACAGGTGTGCATCCACAACTCACAATAAGTCCAATTCGGCCGCTTGTAAATGTAGTGTTGTGAACCCAAGGAGGACATTTCTGCACAGATATGAGAGAATGTTTTTACACTAATGGCCAGAGTGTGTTTTTTGAGCAGTCCTTGTTGATAGAGGGCAGAGGTAAGTACAATTGCTCCCTACTCCCGGAAAGTACTGCTTCTCCACCCGGTTGCCTTACCTGCAATGCTAGCAGCCCCTGGTGCGCGCCCCATGTTATCCCTGTCACTCCCGGAGAAACTTATCGCCTGCGTATCGCAAGCGTCGCGTCCTTGTCCACATTAAACTTCATCCTGGAGGTGAGCACATCCCCTCTAAGGAACTTAAAGCGTTATCTAACAAGCTTTGAAGTGGTGCACAATTCTGGAGCTCACATTCTGACGCTCTTCAATGCAGAATCACAAAATGACTGTCGTCATGGCGGACGGACATTACGTTAAGCCCTTCGATGTCTACAACCTCGACATCTACTCCGGCCAGACCTACGATGTGCTCTTTACCGCCAACCAGGACACGTCCAAAAATTACTGGGCCGCAATCAATGTGCGTGGCAGAAATCCCCTGACACCCACCGGCCTCGCGGTGATTCAGTACTTGCCGAACCCGGCGACTCTCTTGCCCACCACCTCCGCTCCGGTGAGCCCCGTTTGGAACGACACTGCCACCAGCCTCAATTTTGCTAAGAAGCTCCTAGCCAAACCCGGTTACGAACCCCCGCCTCCGAAGAAATGTGACCGCACTCTCGTGCTCCTAGGCACACAGAACGAAATCAATGGAAATGTGAAGTGGGCGGTAAACAACATCTCCTATGTGCACAATGCCACCCCAACCATCGCTGCACTCAAGTACAAGATAAAGGGCGTCAACAACCCCGTTCCACCTCCGGATTTTCCTGCAGAGAGCTACAACATCTTCGCGCCGCCCTCTCCTCCGTCTGCCACTTATGGGACCCCCGTATATGTGTTCGAGAAAGATGATATCGTGGACGTGATTGTGCAAAACGCCAACACCATGACACCCAACGTAAGTGAGATACACCCCTGGCATCTCCACGGCCACGACTTCTGGGTGCTTGGCTACGGTGACGGCTTGTACAATGCTTCGAGGGATCCCGCTTCGTTCAATCTAGTGGACCCTCCGCTCCGCAACACAGTTGCGGTGTTTCCTTACGGTTGGGTTGCGTTCAGGTATGTTGCCGACAACCCCGGTGCTTGGCCATTTCACTGCCACGTCGAAAGCCATTTCCACATGGGCATGGGCACCGTCTTCGCCGAGGGTGTCCGGCATATTCCCAAGCTTCCGCTGCAAACCTTGGGCTGTGGTCTCACCAAAAAACACTTGTAGGTTGAGCCGCGATCTGTTACAACATGAGTATCGCGGTTTTCTTTAACTGATTGATTTGGAAGCTCTTAGTTAGACCTTTCACTTGCAAATCATTCAATTCACCTCAAGTTTTCTCAATCGTAATGTAAACTACGTCACCGTCTCAGTCTTAAAGACAGGATGGTATTCGTTTCAAATCATATTTCATAGCTTGCAAGCCGGTGAACTGCAGATATGGTTGGAAGATTGTGTTGAAAATCCGCTGAATTGACTTCAGTAAAATGTATGAAATAAGAGCAAAGGTTTATTTGTGTTTGATTAAATGTTCTAGAAGAATAATGTTCAATAAAAAGAGTTCTCAAAACCATTGTATCTAATAATAAATTGATTCTCTCAAGCTAACATTAAAATTGAATAAAATAGATATTGTTAATATTTCACAGAAAATTTAAAATTTTAAAATATATTGTATGATGTTTGATTTTTATTTCATTATTGAGCTTCTTTTTAATTTTTTACGTATTATATCCAATTTATTGTAAAATTGTGATAAGGACACTGAAATTTATTCATAATTAACAGCTATTATACAAGAAAAAACCATGCATGTTTTATGCACATTTTATATTTACAGAAATAAATGGAATCATTATTATCTCATGTGAACACATCAATCAATTCTCAAATGTATTATTTAAAAAAAAATAACTATAAATATGGCTTTAAATTATAGTAAAAAAGCTTAATTACTTTGTTTTTTAAACTTATGTACTAAATGAAGTATTATCAAACAATAAGGGTTTTAAGTCATCCTTCATTACTTCAATTTTAAAATTATAAAATTAGAATATAACTGAGATCTTGATAGAGATTCTTCTTTTTAGAATCTTTAGTATTTCAATTAGAACACACTTTATTTAAGTAATTAATACATTGGCAATAGGATTAAATATGTAAAATTTATTTAATAAAAACTAATAATTTGAATTAATATAATAAAGCAATTAATACCTTAAATATTTGATTCCAATATACATGGATAGACTTAAATTATTTTAAAACTGAATTTAGTAATAAATAATTTAATTCTAAAGATGATTTGATTTAATTATTGAGAAATTAATTATATTTAAACTGTGATGTGTGTTATAAAAAATTATGTTCAAGTCAATTATGTATAAAATATTTATATTTAAAGCATTTATAACACATTCAAATCTAAAGTCGTATAAAATTATATGAAGAATAAAACTGTAACTTTATAGATCCTTTTCAACATAATTCGCACATATTATATATTTATTTATTTAAAATCAGAAACTATGTAATTGATTATTTCTATTTTGCAAACAAGTTATGAGCAGTTATGACTTTGTAAAAAAGAAATTATATATACATATATATATATATATATATATACACACACACACATATTAATATCCCAAGATCATATGTCTATCATGTTATATCATATGTCTATCATATGTCATATATGATAGACTAAACTTTAAAGTTTATTAAATTATAAACTTATCTCAAATACTTTAGATTATATTATTTTAGGAAACTATTAGGAAGACACTCCTCTTTTATTACATAAATACCCCTTGTGCCATACACCTCTGCATACACACAATAAAACTCTTATTTACCCTAAAGAAATTGAGCATAAATTTACAACAAAAGATTTGTATGCACTGGTTTATGCACCTCTTTTTGATTTTGATTTTTTTATTAAAATCAACAAAATTTTACAACACATTATATGTCATTCTTTCATTTAGTTTAAAAATATTATTAGCTTTATTTTAAAAGCCCTTTACTATAAATTTATCCTATAATATTATAGTATAAATAATATTCTATTGCATGTGAAATAAAAAGGAGGTTCCACTCATCAATTTTTTTTATTATAATTCCATTTTTTATGAATATTTGAATATATCTTTTATATTTATAGCTTCACAAGTTGCATTGTACAATATTTCTATAAAATATCTAAATTTAATATATTTGATATTCTAAATTTTATAAAAATATTTTAATACAAATAATAAAACTTTAAAAAAGTGTCTAAGCTCAATCTATAAATATACATATTATTTATTTTACATTTTATTTTATTTATGGATCATTTATATAAAAATAATCTTTATTAGGTAGAAGTTTTTCTCTACATATTTAAAAATGTTAAGGAAAAAAGACACAAAATCACCCTCTTCCAAAGAAACAAACATAAAACATAATTGTTTTACTAAGAATTGCATCATTATACACACTCAATTGTGGTTCTAAATTGGGCACATATCATGCCATGGAGATATGCCCCCCACTTACTATGCAAAATAGGGTTAAGAAAGCACCCTTTCTTCTCTTTAAAACCCTACAAATGTACTTGATAAAATAGTAAATTAGCCCACCATACAACACACTATATATTAACTAGACAAAATACAAAGTATTTGTATAATAAAATAGTTTCTTTTTCTTACAATTTTCTATTTATAAAATTACTTTTAATTCATTTTTTGTGTGTTTATAATATATATATAATGAGATATTTGGATTATATTGTTGGTTTTATGAAGACAAAGAAAAATTCAAAAGATGTTTTAATTGTTAATTCCTACACAATGGAGAAAAACACAAAATAAAAATCACTTTAATATATATCTGAATTGTTAATGGATTACTTTTTCATGATTTATATTTTGACTTTTTTGTATACTTGTAATTAAAACTCTAGGATTTATGTAGTCAATGTTTTTTACAATAAAAATATACTTTAACACAAAAAATTAAAAGATACTTAAGAAACTAGTTCTAAAAATAAAAATTTCATATTATTTCCACAAAAAAAATATACGTATTCAATTAAATTTAAAATATTATCATATTTCAAAAATAAAATAATTTCTATCTAGTAAATGTTTTCAATAACTCCATCCACTGTTTGACAAAAATATGAAAGTAGTGTATACAAAATCAAAAAAGAGGATTCATTGTAGTACTTAAAGTAAGCATATGTAATGTAAAATCCAACATTTTAGTTTTTTTCATTTTTCTTTATTTTGGAGTTTCAATTTTATGAATTTCATAACCAAATTATTTTAACTCTTTTTTTTTTGTTATATTCAATAATATGATTGTGACGTTAATCATTTTTATTTTGAAGCAATAAAATAAAGTAAGATATAAGTGATTTAATTTTTTATTCTGAAATTATTTTTGAAAATTATACATCTATTAGAAAATTTAAGTAGGAATAAATCACAGTTTCGAAAATCCCTTTTCAGCTTTTATCCTTATAACAGTGTCACATGTTGAGAAAGCGTTAACACTTCATCTTCAAATGATATGTAAATTACGAATTTTAATAATAATCTTGTCTTTTTTTCATACAACAACAATGCTGAATATTTCAGTTTATCGTTTGTATAGCAAATACATTAATATCAAATAAACACACGTTGTATTCTTAGCTTTTTGAATGCTTAAAAATGGTATTAAAGTTCAAAAAATTATAGCTCAATTTTTTTAAAATTTTTTTGACGTTATTTTCCTCGTTCATATATATATAAATAAATAAATAAATCAATTTAATTTTTTTTAAATTAATCAAAAAGGTGGAAAAAACACAAAAATATGTATATATATATATATATATATTTAAAAAACACGTCATTATAAAAATTCATTTGAGTGTCACAAATAATGCATTTTGCAGGAAATTAATAAATGTGCATGCAAAGATAAACTTCACAGTCAAAGCATGGCTCAATTTCTTTCAGAACAGATCTTTAAAATGAAATCAGTTATTAAATAATCACTTAATTAGAACGAAAAAAAAAAAAAACAAACAAACAAAACAAAACAAAACAAAAAAAAATCTGAATTAAACCAGTACAATTCTCATAGTTTTGTATGTGTTCTTATTCAAAATCTTCAACTCCTACACTCTCCACACATGGTGTCCCACATTCTGGATCCCTAATGCTGTTCAAGCTGTTTCTTAGCTGAGAAAATCACTTAAAAAGAAATTGCCAATTTTGCGGTGTAGACAAGACCAATATACTCAGCATTCTTCGCATGTCATTTCACCACTTTAGCATTCGTATGAGTGGCCTTCAACAGTACAACGTCGATCTTTCCTACAATCTAAAATGGATCATCTAAGACAATTCTCCAGAAATCATTTGAGTAATTGATACAGATTATTTTGAGCCAAGAACTCAACTTGCAGGAATAGAGTACATCAGACACAAACTGCATTTGACAGTTGCTACGGCAGTGATCACTTCAGGGGTGTTACTGTTCCCTGCTTCTTTAAAGCAACAGCTCGGAGTGGCTGTCGGTGCCACCATTCTGGACGCGTTGAAAGTCCTTCACACTGCAAACAACGCAATCGAGTGCACATGAATTTCACCCCGCGGATTTGATCCACAGTACCTCAACAACAATTCGCCCGCTACCGGGATCTTATGACTTATGATCAGATGCTGACGAGTGATTCCCACGCTGGGCTTAGCATGTACGCTAACAGGCAAAGTCACGCATTCAACAATATGGGTTTGTCGAGTTGCTGATATTGGCGTGGATCCCCGGAATGCGTGACTTTGCCTGTCACTCTCAAAAGCTGTGCTGGGGAAGCTATTGTAGAAGGCCACAACAACTATGAGGACCCAAAAAACCATCAGTGTTCTCTAGAAGATGGGTTGGATAGACTATGCCAGTACCTAGACATCTACGCTGATTATGAGTCTCATTGGTGATTTACAAAGAGGAGAGTCCAGAAATAGAGCCTTGTTTTCAGAGGACCAGCCACATTTACAAGTTTACCGTTGGTTCAAAATCATCAAATTGGAGAATTCACCAATTGATTGTGCACAGAAGGATGTAGTGGTGACTGCCACTTTCCCTGTTCAGTGAAAAGACCAGCTTAAGCTCGCATCGAACATGTGAATCTACCTACCCTGCTATCAATCTTTTTTGTAGTTTGTGAAATTGAGCTGTAGAGAATTCGGCAGTAACAGCAAAAAAAAACATTATTGCACAGAAGGTATCCGAAATCTATCTGAAAACTATCCCCCAAACCATAACTCGCCGCCGCTGTCCAGCTGAACTACGTCAAAATTGCATAAGTTTGGTTGTATGAGTAGATTTAATTCTAAAAACAGATAGAGAGTTTCAGCTGAGTGAGAAAGTGTTGGCGGAAATTTATTTTGGTTGACGAGATAGCTCGCAGATCAAATGAAGAGCAGCTATGGTTCACATAAACTTCTTTTCAATCAATCATTGTTGGTAAATGGTGAGTAGTATTATGTGCTGGGGAATAACTAGGACGACGTCCACTTGCAGTACAACCCTCCCGCCGAAGCAAAAACCTGACAAAATTTTATCACAGACGAGGCACAATGTAAAAGCACACTATTATCAAACATATTACATATCGTCATTGCCATGAGCGTTTCCAAGCTACACAGTGGTCATCAGTTTCACGAGTGAGGTAGAGTAGAAGTTCGCTTTCAGACAGTGATTTGCCAAACTATTATTGCAGAGACCTTCCAGTACCTATTTGTCAAGGAGTTTGCCGTTTTAGGAGCCCAACCAGGAGGGACTAGATAGGAAATACCATACGGTACCTTAATTCCTAAAATGTGTGCAAACAGCTTACTCTCGGACAATCCTGATAAGCATGCCACATGCAAAGCCACAACAACAGGAAAAACACTAACAAAGTTGATACAAACTAAGTTTTAAAAAAAACGAAAAAGAAACAGAAAAAAATCCAACTCAGGAACAGAGTAAAACACCACCAGCTGATGGGGCCCTTTTAGAAGTTTAAAAAAAATTAATGTTGCCAGTTTGATAAGTCACCGAAATGGCGCTCTGCAACTTGAAAGTTCGGTAGAAGTCGGTGTACCATCACCACCATTTTGGCTGTCGTTGCCCACTGAAGACACAGATCGTTCGGAACGGACTCCTAATTTAAGGCTCGGGCTTCTTTGTGGATACGCGGAAGGGCGAAAAGGCTTCATCATGGGACCAGAATTGCTGATTAAGTTCTCTGAAATTGGAAACGAGAGCCGCTTCTTTGCAGAGCCCCAGGATCCATCCTTCTCTGGAGTCATAGGCCGCTGCTTGGGTTGGCTGTGCGAACGCACCTTGGCTCTTGCAGATTGAGTTGCTTGCATATAGTTGGGGACAGACGGAGAGCTAGCTAAGCTCTCATCGTCGCGTATAGATCCTGCTTGGCTGTACCGAGTTCCAAAACGGAGGCCGGAAGGAGTAGACCTCGCAGTGGTTGAAACAGTGCTTCCGGCTTCTTCCAGTTCTTCCCTCCGGATGATATTGCGAGGACTTGCAGATCGGATCATTACGGGTGTAGATTTCTGACCTGAGGATGGGGTAGCTGGTGAGTGCAGCGCGCCCTGGCTAGTAGTTCTTTGCATGGTACTTGGGCTGAAATGGTTATTGCCATGGCTATGACTGCATGCATTGAAATGAGACGCAGACATGCACGGACCATTTGACGAGTAACTTTCACTTCTCACGGCTCCATTTTGTGCCGAAACGTGCCTTTGCTTGTTGTACATGCTGGATTGTTTGGTAAGTCGAGGATCGCAAACTTCGAGTTTCTTGTGAACGGCGTCCAGGTCTGCACTTTTGACAGAGAAACTTTCGAAAATATCTTTAGAGACAGCGTTGTTGTCGAAGATGCGATTTTCCCATGGTCGCGCTGCCATCCATCGCTCTAACCAGCTCCACCCCCAGTGGGGCTTGTCGGGCTCGCAATTTATGAAGAGTTGTGACGCCTGATTTGGGGCCAACTTCCACGACTGTCAATTCTAAATCGAAAAGAAATGAAATCCTTCATCTTGTGACGCTAGAAGGGCTGTTCTAGACTGTATTGACAAAAAGGAGGACACTGCAACTACGAATTCTTGGGGAGAGCAAAAGCACTTAATTCCAAAGGTTTATCTTAATGGGGAGAGCAAAAGCACTTAATTCCAAAGGTTTATCTTAATGCAGATAGATGAGATCAAAACGACTGATTACTAAACACACCTTCGGATACTTCGTGTAGGGGAATTTGCGGTCCCCCCAACCAGCCTAAACAAAAATCCACTGGCAAGAAACAATTCGTCTACAATGACACTACAGGACGACAGACTGGATGCCTTTCAAAGAGGGAAGCACGGTAACACTGTGTCTGCAAACTATCCTTAAAGCAAGCAAAATGCATGGAACACAAACCTGATGGGAGAAAGCATATGCCAAAGCTCTTTCCCTCTTCATGGCTGCCTCTTGCTTGTTCAGCAATTTGACTTGTTCCTCCTGCATCGTTTGAGTGCTATCATTCCAGCCCCCATCCTGCCATCAGGCTCACATAATTTTCATCAAGTCAACCCCACGTTTACCAGAAGAAGTGGGAAAACAATAAAACCAATTTACTGCTCAAAAGAATAAATACACACAATGGATGAGGCAGCTAATTCTTTTAGTGAAGTTTTATTCAGTAACTTTATCAGTAGTCCTTTCAGTTCAGTGAATTTTGCAGCCACAAGCGGACCATTGCAGAATTAAGTCATACTGCTCAGACATCAAATAGCTCTGAACCAATTTGGATGTCAAGAAACTCAAAACTAGCACACATACCAGAGATTTCCTTGGACGAGATTCTAGCTGTCTCCGTTCCCACAACTGCTTTTGAACTGCTCGCCCTTCCTCGGACATACGCACTCTTCTGGCCCGAACACGAGCCTGAACTCTAACCAGTGCTTGCATGCAACGTAACGTGATGGTGGCTTGACGACGAACCGTGTGGCCACGAACCAAGGCTTGCAAACGAACCAGACCCTTGAGTGCTCGCAAAGCTCGCCGAGCCTGTGGGAGTTAACGATGGAGAACATTACAATTGTATACCACTCACGAAGGACAGTACACCACGAATGCAACAAACACCACTCGTACTTTACGAATTAAGATTTCAACTTCAAAACGGCACTATCTTAGGAATCGTTCTATTTTTATGACTTCACAGAATTCGAACAAGTGCTGAGTAAATATTCGTACCAAATACGCCCGAAATGCTGTCTGGATTCTGATTGCTGCCCTTTCTTCTGGTGACAAGTAAACTGAGAGGGCATTGATCCGCCGAACTGGAGTACTTGCTCTGCGGCTGGCCCGGGTAGCTGGATCAGGAGTTTTGAGTGACACTTGCTTACGACACTCTTCTGCGGTATTTTCTGTAGAATTTTCCTTCGCGTATTCAGTGGCAGATGGTTGATGTGATGACTTCCCAAAGCTCCATCTCCTTCTGTTCCTAGACCTCGCCTGCCGAAACGTAAAACCATCATAAACTACCTAAGGCAACCATAATTTAGACTAGTTTTCAGTCACAAAACGAAAATAGTATCCTTCATAAAAATTCAAATCCCATCGAGATGCGAGTATATTTAGAAGTTACCTCGATTGGTGGAAGGTCCCCAACAAGGTCTAGATCTCTGGGGGTGGTTTTAACGTTGTCTTTAGATGGAGATCTGAATGCTTTCTTCACAGCACTAAACCACTTGCTTTTCTTCCCCATGCTGCCCTGTAGTCAATCTGCACAGCTAGAACGGAATGTTAGAGATGTTGTACACAAACAAGCAGGGAGTACTGCACGTTAAGTACGTACATTGTAAGTCAAGGATGCTCATTGAATACTCTCACAGAAAAACTAAAAAACCACGAGCAGCGCACAGGGTGGACCTCTAAATGCACACTCCAAATATCCCATCTTTAAATCTTTTCGTATATCTTCCGTGATCATTCGGCTTCTTGAAGGTGACAAGAATTGCAATGCAGGTATCCTAACAAACGGCAAAAGCAGTGCGTATGTAGTAGCGCCAAATGTAGGTTCCTATCAAACATGAAATGTAGTAAAATAAAAGAGAGTAAAACAAGAACAACCTGCACCAGGATCCAAGTGAAGTTTCAAGTCCTCGCCAAGGAACAAGATGAAGGTCCTTTCTCAATGTCTTGACTAAGCAATTGACTACTTGAAACGGAACCAAACCAGAACCAACGCTAAGTCAGAAACTCTGTCGACCCTCGATGTAATGCGGAAGCTGCAGCGGCAAACCAGGGTTGAATAGAGCTGCTTCGCCGTATCATGCGTCAGGGAGTGAAAGATCGTGAAAAGTGTCTCCAAGAAGACTGATTGTTTTGGTGCTTTAAGACTGCCCCGTGGAAATAGTTAGGGGAGGCATAAAACTTGAGAGTTGAATCATAGAACTGCTTGAAATATGCATGTGAATGTACTCGTTGCGTTGCCAGTGTGAAGTCGCGAGTGTGAAGGATTGAGCAAGTTAAGGTTCGGTAATGAACTTAAGATTTCCTACATTGTGCAACGGTCTGCCACTAAAGAGTCGGAAAACAGCAGTGGATCACAATCATCTAGACTAGACAACCTGTCACTCTTCGTTATGCACATTCCCTACCAACCAATACCGAAACATGATCCCGCAATCTGCGGCATGGTACAGCGACGTGAAGTCAGGTACTGGCAGACGACTAGCGAGAGAGGGAGGGAGAGAGAGAGGCGACACGTTGCTGAGCGTGAGGCCACCCGAACAGCGCAGAAACGATTACCAACGTTTTCACAAAGATTCTCCACCGCGGGGGTAGGGGAATGATTTCCGCATTGCGGGTGCAGCTTCAAGCGAGTCTCACCCCACTACAGAACCGTGACGTTGTACACATATACAAGTACCTACAACTCTCCTCACAGTCGGAGAATCGAGCATGAACAAAGTGCCTTCAGAACACCACCACCTACAGCAACACTTTGGCAATACAAGAAGGATAGTATCATCGCTCAGGTAATGATACCACACGACTAATCGGCATCCAAAGCGGAATCATCTTAGCGCACAGATCTCCAACAGACAAAACTGCGTGAGGTCGGGAGGGAGCCCACAATTGCTAGTGAAGGAAGAAGCTCCCCAATGAAGATGGAAACAGTGAGAGGACGAGAGAGCATGGCGGCATGGGAGTACTGCTACTACATACAGCATTTACTGAAAGCAGAAAGACGTCGGATACGGCACAGCAGACGACATTGCATTGATGAACGCAGGGGCGGTATGGTAATGAGAGGGACTCATGGCTGTGCAGCTGCCGATGGACTGTCACAGCCATTGCCGGAGGAAAACTTCGCGGACGCCATAGCCGTCTCGCACCGCACACCGGAGCTGGACCCGGTGAAATGGAGGGGGGGCTGGCTGGCGGGCAGGCTGGCGGGTGGGCGGGCAGCGGTTGACAGGCAGCCCTCGGGTGAGGACCGACCCGGCCCCGCGGTTCAGCTTTCTGCGACGACTCTGAAGCGCGCGGGTCGGCCATCTCCGTCCCAGCCCAGGGCGGGAAAAAGGGTCCGCGGAATAATTGCTCCCGCGATCAAAAGGGATGTTCCCTGGGGTCTCGTTCATCCGTTGAAGACATGGATGGATGATAAAGTAACGTGGTTCTTCCACTCTTTCAACATTCTCTCAAAAGATTGAATCTGCCTTGTTTTGTTGAGTACCAAAGGATAAGCACTTTTATTGGATACACCTTTTTGTTTTCTAGCACAGTTCTTTTTCTTTCTGTTTGTATTTATTAAACTGTCAATTATATCTTGTCCAGTGGTTTGTTTTATTCTTGTAATTGTTACATCATATTCCTGGAGTTTATCAACTATTATTTAAGGAACTGCACATATAACACACACATATATATATATATATATATATATAAGGAGAGAGATGGGTTTTATTTATGTAATATATTTATTCCAAAATTTGAAGTGTTGAAGAGATGTATACGGGGTGATGAGAACCTTTAAGTTTTTTCTTTGAAAATAGTGATATTTGAATATGTTAATATGTTGATTATAGTATTAAAAAAAGAAAAAGAAAAAGAAAAACGTCATATGTATCTAATACTCAGTTATTCTGATTCAATGGCACAAAATATCCTAAGGAAAATGAACTACATGACAAATACATTTACAACCAATCAATATATGTTTATGTCAACACAGTAAACTGGCAGAGAGACCCCCTGTTAGTCTCTGTATTACCCTCAATGTTATGGTTTTCAACAACAGCACGTTATTGCAATGCCCAAGTTGTGTTCACTACTAATTTGAAGTACAATTACAATGTGAAATCACACTAAAGAATGGCTGACATATACTAGTGTTTGACATACTAACTGGAATGAATAAAGTTGTAAAACTATAAATAGGCCATGGAAATTAAAACTTGGAACAAGAAATTCATTATTCACTTGCAGTTTATGGTAATTTTTTTAGTCTTTGCAACTAAGTTAAAAGTATTTTAAATCTCTATTTAAACGGAAGGGGGAGGAAGAAGATATCAGGTAATTGCTTTCCTTTGTTAACTATCGTTCTACATCCATATGACGAACAGACGTTCATATTTTCTGTTCAATTCTGCCCCTTTTGACTTTTCGTGAGCTTTTACCGAGGGTAACAATCGCGGTGGGGTATTTACTACCGCGGTAACTTTTGGAGTGTGAAGTAGTAACTCACAGGCTTTCTTTGGATGCCCTTTGGCAAAGGGGGGGGCAATCTGGCGGATCCGACGAGGCGAGGGTTCAATTGAGCAGTTATGTCTAATAATGTTACACTGCAAGTGAGATATTATGAGCTCCACAATCACTTCTCCACATATATATATATATATATATATATATGTAGATATTGGTTTTTTACCGCCATATTTGGGGAGAACACGGTTAATGCTAGTTGTCAAAGTAAGAAAAGTCAGTCTTTTAAAATATATATATATATATATATATATATATATAAAGAGAGAGAGAGAGAGAGATGTGTATTTACACACGAATATGACAATGACCATTTATATGAAAATAAGGTGAATGTTGGTGCAAACTTGTGTAGTCAACAAAAATATAGATTTTCATCGTGAACCGTGGTCAAAACCATAACATCATTTGCGAATGTCACATGCTAGTAATTAATGTTTCATAAATTTTTCGTCTCTATGCAAATTGTTTTCATTTTCGAATGCAAAAGAAGAATAAAAAATTAAATTACTGTACGTTTGTGTGAGCATAAATATACACACACTTAGAGAGATAGAGAGAGATGTAAAACTAAAATAAAACATAAGTGATTATAGATTGTTTGACCATGAACTTTAATTTTTTTATTTCTACGAATGAAAAATCATGATTATGAGTATTTTAATTGGGTAAAACAATTTCCCATTTTTAAATTTTACGTCCCACATATTTTTGGTTATCTTTAATGCACGTGTGTATTGTTTTTCGGAACTGGTATTGTTTATTTGGAAAACAACAGTCCTGAAGAATCTTCATACTTTAAGTTTGGAGCAATATAGTAGAGATCTTTCAATAGACAGCCATTAAATTCTTACCTACACCAGTTCTATCATTTTTTTTGCATTGTATGCAAAAGATGGCTCCTCCTCCTTTTGAAGTGTCTCTTCCAACTCTGTACGTTTTCGACATTCATCTCATGTTAGATTCCCATGACATGACGCCAGGAACACAAATGTCTACACAGTGGGACATACACACAACCCTGAAACGGTGGGACACACACATCTATCTATCTATCTATCTATCTATATATATAAGAAAACCCACAGGTTTGTTCACAGTGGAATGGACTATACGTGAATTCCAGTCACATTCTTCTAGTAACCCTAAAAATAAAAATTTAATCACAAGTATTGATATAAGACTAATAACTTAAAGAAAAGTATTAGATTTAGTGTATTTTGCAATCGAATACAATGTCAGGCCATACTCTCCACACCCACAAAGGAAGCCCAACAGCTTGACATCACCTAAAGCCCCCTTTTCCCAAAAGCCCAGGCCCTGCTCGACTTGATAGGCCAGCGAGCCCAGCCCAGGCTTCTTGGATCCCCCCCCCCTTCTCTATGATTGTAGGCACCCGTCCTCCCCGTCCCGACCCGCGCCCGGACCATGAAACTTCCCTATGATAGCTACCGCCATCCCCACCGTCATGGCGTGGGAACCTTCTCTCCCCAACCTTCGAAGCTTCGTCTTACTTCCAGAATAGATGAATTTAGAAGGATGAATGTTTTGGATGTCGGGTTGGGGGTTGGATAGATTATATCATTCGTTGAAAGATTCTCTTCGTCCTCATTGGCAGCTGTGCGTCGGTGGGATGTGAACCCGATGGGACGGTGGGAGCCCTAAATGTAACAACTTTCAGTTATTTGGATGGTCATTCTCACATTTCGATGACTGATTGTGATGTTTAGTACCGCAATTGTTGGAGTTTATTCTACAGGAAAGATTTATTCACTTGCTTGTATATATTAATGCGGAAAAATATAAGAATATAGATTTTATTGGTAGCCTTATTGCGTTAAGTATTCATTTATTTATTTGTTTTGTTCCTTGATTTAATGTCGTGTTTGTCCAAGAGCGACTACTGAAGCTTTCATTCTCAATATATTTTCGTTTTTTATTTTATTTTACTTGTGATATAAGCATGTCATAAGATATGTTTTGATATTTAAGTAGGATGAAATCTACTTTAATTTTGGTTATATATATAAATAAATATATATGTAAGTATATTTCAAATTAAAATCAGAATAAGATACAAAAAAATTACTACGTCTGGCTTTTGGAACAAGTGGCAAGAACAAAAGTGGATGAAAGATCAAAAATCTAACCAAATTAAAAGGTAGGGAATCTAATTTGAAGGTGGCACTTCCACACATACTAATACTCTGCTTTTAAATTATAATTTTTTTATTAGTACATTCTTCACTCTGTCGTCATAACTTTTTATTCATGAAAAACCAACAAGAATTTACATAAGTGCATGATGAAATTGGCAGTTATACTGAAAACAAACTTTGATTGTTATTATCTTGAAATGGGTACATTTATTAAATATTGAAAATCAAATGTGACTTGCATTAATAATGCCGGAAGTTGATTGTTTTGGATGGGCATGTCCTGAATTGTAATATATTCAAATATCATACAATTTTCTTATTAAAAATTATGTTTAATTCTTAAACATGACATGTGAATTGTATTTTGTAACTTTCTCTTGTTAATATTGGAAGTTCTTTTAAATCAATTACACAAGCATGCGTTCTTTAAAAAACATTAATTCGACATGTTAACACACCATAAAAATTTGCTTCATGTATTTATCCATCTTTGAATGATTAGTAAAACAACCAATCTCTTACTTGAAATGTATAGATATTTTTTTAATGCTGCATTGAAAATACAAACCGTGTGTCATTCCTAATTTTTAAAATTCATGACCCTTCTAATTGCCACACACATTGCAATTTTTCAACTATGAATAAGCCAGCGTTTTTTTTTTCTTTTTTTTGTATTCTTTGTACTTCTAATTAATTAAGTATTCATCTTCTAGAAAATAGATATGTGATACACTAAGGTGAGTTGAATTTCAAAAATTAAATCTTAAGATGCATGAATCGAATAACTGTACATATGGAGCTCAATAATAAACTGAATTATATCAAACCATTTCGTATTAATTTGTTATGAGACTTACTTTTCGTCTCTTTGTATATATATATATATATATATATATACATATAATCTTCTTCTTCCAGTTTATTTATTAAAAAATAAAGCAGTTCGTTTGATACAATTGTTGTATATACAAATACATATATTTTTTCAAAAAACCATATCTTCTTGTAGAAACATATTGATTTTCTACACAATGAATCTACAAAGTTTTGTATTACACTTTTCAACTTAATTCGCGCACCAAAGACATCCCACATTAACTTTTTCTCTTTTTTTCTTTTTTTCAAATGTTATTTTTACCACAATGAGATTAATAATATTTTGTAATGTCAATAAGCCATAATGTGTTGCAGTATTTTGATACATTAAAAATCTGTGTTTAAAATAAGGCATCACTTACATAGATTATGTTACTTTGTGCATACATTTATCATCAGTGTCTTCCAATTTGGCCATTCTCAACGCTATGTATTTCTGTTTTTAGCATGTCTTTTGCATTTTGAAATTAGAATTATGTGGATTGACCCTGAGACTAACTCAAACCTCAACTCACCAAAGGCCTGTCCAATCCCCTTATAAACAGGAAAGTAACCAAAGTACACCCAAAAAGAACATACTCTACGGTGTACAAAACGTGTCATAACCCCTCATTCAGAAATGCAAGGTTACACAAAAAACAAACAAACACATAAAAACAAAACAGACAGTGCTCTTTTTCCCCCACTTGGTTTCAGGTGCCAAAAACACAAAACGAAAATTAGGGTTTCAGAAAAGAGAATCCCCCAAAACCCTAAATCCAACACACCCGAACCTGAGGCATGGAAGGAGGTACGGTGTGAAGAGAGGGTGGGGTGGGGATCAGGTTAGCCCGGGCAGAGAGTTGCAGGAATTGGCAGGCGGGGAGGGGAGGATTTTACTTGTGGGTTAATTAATCTAACAAGTAAATTATTATTCAAACCCCAGTCAAAGTCAAAGTAAAGAAAGGTAAAGTCTAAAGATAACGGATGTGTGTGTGGGGAGGGAGGGGGGGGGGTTAATGAATCAGCGGCTCGTAATGACAAATGATTCATTTGTACCCTCACAATCTCAGCCCTCGTTTGCCTTGGCAGCAGCTCACAGTCAATCCCATGCCCAAGTCCTCCTCCTCCAACACAACCCACTTACATATATATATATATATACACACTTATATTCACACATCTGTGTGTAAGTGTGAAAAGGGAAACAATTCATTCGTTCGTTCGTTCGGTCATCCATCCAATTGGGGATGAAGAATAGTGTGGCGTAATGGGTGACATGTGCAGTGGCATTGATGGGCTTCAAATGAAGCGATGTATTAAGGGATGAACGTCGTCCATGTGGTGTTGTTGATTGAGAGAAAGCTGGCACCCGTTGCAGGGGATTCACTCTGAAAGTGGGTTTCTGCCCCTTTTGCTCTGGCTCCATCATGTTTTGCCTCTTCCTTAAGGGTTGAATGGCTGTGGTTGTGGTAAACCCTAAAAATCCTGGATGCAAGCCTTAACCCTAAACTCAGTTTGTTGGAGAATATGGATATAAGCACCACATGAATGCTTTGAGGAACTCTAGAGGGCAATTGAACTATTTATGTTTCAAACACTAGTTCAAAGATCATGGCATGTTGAGATATATCTGTTATATAAAACAGCTTAGACATAAGATAAAGACATAAAGAAGCCTTCTCATTGGCCAAACATGGACATGGATGGCAGTGCAAAAGATTGTGATGCCAAACAACATGGGTTTTTGCTAGTGTGTGTGTGTGTATATGTATATATATATATATATATATATATATATTGTGTGTTTTAAACTTTTCATGGTGTACATTTCCAAACTGTAATAATATCTCAGTCATTCATAAGAAATGGGAATTTGCATGAGAGCAGATGAGTATTTGCAAGGTAGTTTTCATTACTTTGAGATGACATTATCCATAATGTGAATGCACTTAGCCTTTCCGTATCCAATTTATATGTACTTATACGAAATCACAATAAATCAAGTGAAAAAGTGACAAAATTTTAAGATTTTCCAACAAAGGAAAAGAAACAACAGATAAAATTTATTTGATTGTTTAATACTGATCAAGGACTACAATTCTCTCAATTAGTTAATTAATGGACGAAATTGCTTCAAGTGGTCATTCTAATGGTCAAGTCTTCTACATACATGTATTTGAGACATATGAATTGGCTACCAGTCATGTCAAATGTTATTGTATTTGTTTCTCATATTTTTATACAACTTCATACAGGTAATTGTATGATCACTTCTTTTCAGTACCAAGATCTCAAAAGATCCAACATGGTTTGGTGGACTTCAAAGTGAATTCACTTCTGTTATGTGTACAATTAATGCACGTTCATGAATACATATTCTTAAACTGAAATGTAAAACAAATGGATGCATTATTCTTTTTGATTTACTTAACTTAATAAAGTTTTGCCCTGACAAGAATAGAACACAAAACATCAATAGTAGTAACATTAATTGTTTAAATTTAATAAAATTAAGGAACTTTTGGTATTTCAAAGTTCCAAAAAATATAAGGTACTTTTCCAGATACACATTATACACCCAAATAAAATAAAATTTGTATGAGTGCAACAACTAATTATAGTTAATTGAAAATCATCATTTAATTGTTGTTGATAACATTCCTTTCCTTTTATTACTGTAAAAGATACATTTTTCAAAACTTTAAGTATCAAAGTAACATTCTCATCATGGTGTTTCAAGTGTTGTATTCAGATTAAGACACATAAATTGAACCCCTAAAAACACACTTAAAAACATAATTTTTTTTGTACGTATTATAATTTTTGTACCATTGAAAATTGAAAATCTAACACAATACAGAAAGCGAACTTATCTTTGTTACACTTACACACACCATCTAGATATTATTACAGCGCAAATGTAACGTTTTGCAATATCTTTGAATTGGTTTAAGCCATATTATCAACTGGGTTTGTCTCTTCTTAGTATCTGAGATTAGCAATAATAAACCATATTCTTTTGCAGCTACAACTGTAAAACGTTCTTCAATGCAATCGACATGAAATTCCATACAAATACCCCAATTTTCTCAAAGCAAGTTCTGATCTGAAGATGCAGAGCCACAAACTACAATTGCACATGATCAGCTTCATCATCGAAGCATGGCAATGTTGGTGCAGGTTTTCATGGTACCCAGGAAATTCTGAGAATACGGATATAAGCACCGCACGGTCGTTTTCTAGGTCGATATGGTGGCATTGTCAGTTTAATACCTCTAGAAACTGGTGTTGCAAGTGTTGTGAACTTTATAACACTGCAAGGTTTACGTATCTGGCATGCTTGGCAAACAAATCCACGCATGGAAACTACATTTTGTTACAGTATCAATCAGTCGGTCTCTTTCCGCCTGCACAGTGCTTTGCTGGAGCTAGAGAATCTGCAAAGCTTTTGCAGACACACAACAATTGTTCTCACATGGGTTCGTAGTATCTTTGCCCTCGAAGTTAGTAGTTATAACTCGGCAACAATTCTTCAAAAAATGTTACATAATCATGTCCATCCTGAGCAAGTGTATCCAACATCTGAGACATGGTTCTCGAATGGGTGCTTGTCTTCATAAATATTTCTGAGTCATTTCCTCTTACATCCCTCTCACATGACAAGCTCGGTCACATCTTTAAAGCAAACCGGGCCAGTTGTGATTAGGCTGGAGTCACCTTCAATAATCTGATCCTTGAGGTTCTTACTCTTCATAGTCTTGGAATCTGCACGCAGTTTCTGATGTCTCAGCAGTGTAGCAAGCCGCTGCGCAGGTTGCCTACAATTCATGACCTCCCGTGAAGTTTAACAGGGGGCGGTTGTCGACAGCTCTGCATCGAGAGATATTTCTTTCAGTATGTGGCAAAGAACGTATCGCCCCAAACTCGAAATGCTCTAATGCTCTCCACCTAGAAGCTTCAGCGAGGGCACAGTTTCAATCCCAAGTGAATGTCAGAGCTTCTCAGAACGATCTCAAATCATTCACAAAAGGATGAAGCAAACTGTCGTTTTATACAAACTAGTTCGTAACCAACAAGAAAACGCCACGACAAGACTAGAATATCTCTTAGCACATCTTTCAAAAGATAATTCAAACATCGTTCAGACAGACAGGCAGTCAGACAGAAAAACAAAAAACTATTGAATAAACGAAAACTCATTGAGACGTCTAACTCTCTCTAGATTGGCTCACCTGTGCATCAGTCACAACCCTTGCAATAGAAAACATAATCCAGTTTCTATTGCCTCTCTCTCACTCAAACAATGTGGAATGACCTTCAAGCAATCACTTCCCCATCCTAGACCAGAATTTGACTGTCCTGCGACAAAACCAATGTGCAACCCCCCTTTCCCTCCATCGCAGTGCAGATCAATGCTCCAGTCAGAGGTTCAGTTGACACAGGTCTTCCGGTGTAAGTGACTTGGCACTATCCATGACCCATTTCATTAATAAGCGTCACATGAATGGACCTCACTGAAATTGTTGTTGTTGTTGTTGTTGTTGTATTTTTTGGTATTTTTTTTGTGTTTCTTTTAACGACAAGATACATGCACTGGCACAGTGACTGCAAAACTGGTAGTATAATGAACTGAGTCACAAGAAACTGCGGCAGTTCTTAGTGAGGAGAGGTGTTGATTCACAGACATCACGGCCTGCCTGCATTGTGAATGAAAGGGGGGGGGGGACAGGAAGATGAATATTAAGCATTCAAAAAACCACCTTCAAGTGTAGATCTGCACACATTCAGAATGCCTAAGTGTCTGGATTATACTTGTCAAAATCCACGTTTATTCTTCAAATGTGTGTATATATATATATATGAGAGTCAGTTCCTGGAAATGGGATTGAAAGAAAGAAATGAATAAGAACAGTGCACAGAAACTATTTTTGTGGTATTGAATGTTGTGTTGGAGTGAGACCAAGATGGTTTACCTTAAACAAGCAAAAGTGGTGGAAAACCTCCTGTGAAGCATAGATTTCAACGTATTTGTGTAGTTTCTTAATTTGTGCCTTGAATAACTTCTTACTTGAAAATTGATTCTTTTCTCTCTCTCTCTCTCTCTCTCTCTCTCTCTGTAAGGTAATGACACCATTTTCTGAAGTTTATGTTTATAGTTGAAAATATTCAATTTTGGTTGTCACTTAATGAATTGATACTAAAGGGTGGAATGAAAATATTAAAAAATTGACATAAAGTGTTGGATTGTATTTATTTATATATTTATTTATTTGAAAATCAAATTTCCATGTAATATTGATAGTGAAAGGTCAGAATATCAAAAAGAAATGAAAAGAGAAGGAAAGAAAAGAAGGTTAGATGTATTATTATTGATGAATTCATAAAAAGAAGAAAAGAAGAGATAGTAAAACATAAGTCACAAAAACTATGAAATACTTTTTGATCATGTTAAATAATAATAAATAAAGTTTGTTGGTTATTATTTTGTGTTTGTTCAAACTACATTGTATGTATTTCTTTATATATACATATATATACACATATATATACATACATATACATACATATACATACATACATACATACATACATACATAGACACTAAAATTATATGAACCTAAATGAACTAATTGTGTGATACTTTGAGATCCTATTGTTCATACACATGTGTATTAATAAAGAGAAGAATAAATCTTTACTATGGTTATAAGTTCATTGGATCATACAATAACCAAGCAAATTCTTAATCTTTGCATCCACTCTCCATCTCTACTTGTCAAACCACCCATTTTAATCTACAAAATAAAGTATTATTATTATTAATAATAACAACAACAATAACCATATTCAAACTTTATCCTCTCACTCCTCTCAAAAAAAAAAAAAATAAAAAAAATATCACTAAGTGCCATAACAATTCTTACAACTATCGTGAACACATCAATGACTCAATTATAATCAAAACATCAAAACAATGGGGAAATTATGCCTAGCCAAATGGGAACCCTCACAAATAAAAAAACCACTTTCCCATGAGAAACGGGTGTGAACGCGACCCCATGAGAAACGGGCTCTCAAGTCAAAGAAGGAAGGCCTGACCCGCTCCCCGAAATGGATAGTGCACGCGGATCAGGGCAGCGACTGCGATACCGGTATACAGGCCCGGTATCTCACCCACATCGGTGAGCACGGGTCACTAATTTACCGGCCAAGCCCAACAAGAAGAAAAAATACACACCAGGAACAGAACAAATCGCAACACACACATACACATACAGACACAGACACATGAACCTCGATCTGATCATGACTCGCCGCCGTGTGCAAATGAGTTTGCGACAATCGCCGTGCATGGTGGTCGAAGTTGCATCGCCCTGTGATCCCTGCTTGTGCAGAACTGAGGCAAGCAGAATTCAGCAGACATCAGTGTAATGCAGGTTAGTGTTGCAGGTTACCAGAAAATGGGTGCCTACAAACAGGAGAGAGAGAGAGAGGAGAAGATTCATGTCAGAAACATGCTGTCACGATAGCGAAAAGGCGAACTGTCACCGAGGACAAAGCGGCGATGGCAAATCCGGTGGGAGGGGGGAGAAGCTGGTGGTTCAAGATTGCTGAAGCTGAAAGAGGCCGTGAGTTGGTGGAGGTTGCTTGTGTGGAAATTTTTGTGTGTGGGTAAACGGATTCTATTTGTCCTCCCATGAAAAGAGGAGTCAACTCGCACTAGAAAACACACTTGGGAATCTGCAGCTTGTGTGAGTGTGTGCAGACTCAATCTTGGGGACAGGTTTGTTTTTTAACTTTTGTCAGTACGTGGGGTCAAGGTATTGCACTGACCAGGGGAAAAAATGGTGCCGAGACTCACCATCGGGTAATATTCTCACCGCGTGCAGATGATGCCAGCGTGCGAGCAGCTTCAGTCTAGATCAACTTGATTTGTGCCTGGTCTGTGTGGTCACTGTACCAGACTTCCCTCTTTAATTTTCGAGTTGGAGGGAGCAGGGAGGGATCCTATACTCACGAGGATGAGATGTCGAGGAGAAGCTCTGCAAAGTTATGAATGCGTGAGTTCCTGCCTCACTGGTGGATGAGGATGTGTGAGTCAGAAAGTGAACATTCTTCCCATTTATTAGTGTTTGCAGACATTCAGGTGGTTTCTACAGCTGAGCCAGTTTGTTGGTCTTACTGGGGTCTCATTGGGGTGAATTGTCTGTTGGTTTTGGAGCCAAAATGCTGGTTTCCAGAACGGAGGATTCTGACTTTAGCCTGCCATCTTGGATTCTGCACCTCAAGGCTGCCCTTCTAGTGGTGTTTGCTGTGAGTCCTTTGTTGTTTGAAATGGCAGATGTTGCAGGATGGTGATGATGACGATGTTTCAGTGTAGAGTACAAAGGAGTGTTGGTGGTGACAGAGGCTGGGAGAGAGGCCCTCGGCAGCGGATGTGCGCTGGTCGAACGCCAGTGTAGTTTTGGAGGTAAAACGTTCTTTGGAAATGAGTGTTGGTTGTCAATTGACTGAGGCGAATTGCGAAACCTGGTGCAGTGTCTCGTCCATCTGTGGAACAAAACTCATTACAAGAAAGCATCGAGGATGCTTCGTAGGAGAGAATGATCCGAATGGAGGTTAATTGCGTAAGCAGAGGCTTAGTTAGAACTGGTTCGAACAAGAACGCTTGGTCTGGGTCGGCTGGGCAGTAGCACTTGATCGGTTACGTTCTTCTGGTGGTGCTGAGCCCGTTTAGATGTGTAAACTTTGGGAGCCTGCGCACGTGGAGCTCATTTGTGCCACCATCACTCGAAAGAAGACGAGATTTTGGGTTTAAGTGCATTGTTCGGGGCATGAAGTGTGGGTGGAAGAGGCCACAATCGGTTGGAGAAGAAGATCTGTGCCATTGCGTACCATGATCCCGTGCCATGCCGCTGTAGTTGGTAACATCGTGTACTGCAGATAGCGTACCCTACACCCTATGACTCTGCCGCAGAGCCCACACGTGCCGTGAAGGTTCTTTTGAATAATCTCTTTCGGTGCTCCAGCAATACCACTTTCCGAGACAATTTAGGTCAAGATCCATTTGGCACCAACAGGTCGGTGGAACTGGTTTCTTGGCGCGAGTTATTTGCAGATACGCCCACTTCCAAAGGGTGTGCAGACCCATGGCTTTCTGAAGCTTATGGTGCAAGATTTACAACTCAGTGATGTCTTGCCCGCAGGCTCTTGATGCATAGGAGTATATTCCATGGGAAAAACTTGATATAATTAATTTTTTTTGAGTGAGGAGTTTGCAAAGATTCGATAATAGGCTTCGATTGACCGACGGTAGGATTGGGGAATAGGTAGGGCTTAGCAATGTCAGCTAAAATGGGAGTTGCTTACCAGAAGTCTAGGGGATGCAATTGGATAGCCTGTGCAGTCTTGCTAGCGGTTGTAGCCGTGGTCATTGTGCTTGCTGTGGTGGTGATAAAGCACAAGAAGATCTCCTCAAATGATATTAGTGTGCCCATGCCTCCTGGTGCAAACTTCAACGGAAACTACACCCATGCCATGCAGCTCGCCCTCACGTTCCTTGACATTCAGAAATGCAAGTATCTTCCATTCTGTTTTCCAACTTCATAAACAAATATGAGAATGCTCTGTTTTCATTGTGTCTACCATGTCGGTGCTGGGAGTGCTCATTTGATACTTGGTGTTTGCGGAAGAAGCCCAATTCGCAGCTTCTGATTTTAATAAGATGCTGATCATTTCTCTCAATTTTTCCCAACAATGTGCAGCAGGAAAGCTACCAGAAAAATTCCCTATACCATGGAGGGGTGACTCGAATCTTGTGGACGGGAAAGACATGGGAGTAGATTTGAGTGGTGGACTGTATGATGCAGGTGACAGTGTCAAGTTCGGCTTGCCCATGGCTTTCACTGCTACTCTCCTCTCTTGGGGTGTGCTCGAATATGGTCCCGTAATGGGAAAAGCCGGTCAGCTAAATTCAGCGAAAAATTCAATCCGTTGGGTTACAGACTACCTCCTCAAGGCTCACACTTCTCCCCAGGAGCTTTACTTTCAGGTTTTAATTTCGGTCATTGCCTTACATCTCTAGTATTTTAACTTTTCACATAAACGGCACAAGCAGCATGATTCACCTACAATAGGCGTCAGTGTTGGAATGAACCGTTTAGGTATCTTCACTCATGCCATCCATGGAAAACAGGCTAAAACTACTCTGTGTGGTGCAGGTTGGAGATCCAACCAAGGATCACAAGTGCTGGATGAGGCCGGAGGATGGTAATTTAGTGAGGCCTTCTTTAAAGCTAGACCCAACCACACCAGGTTCTGAAGTCGCAGCAGAGACTGCAGCCGCCATGGCAGCCGCATCCATGGTGTTTCGAGCTACTGATGTAGCTTATGCAGACCTTCTCGTGACGCATGCCAAGCAATTATTCAATTTCAGCGACACCTACAGAGCATCATACAGTTTATCCATCCCAGCTGTTCAAGATTTTTATAATTCAACTGGCTACGGAGACGAGCTTCTATGGGGGGCTACCTGGCTGTATTATGCAACAGGCGATAACATTTACCTGGCTTACGTTACAGGAGTGGATGGTGAGTCCTTTGCAGAATGGGGCGTCTTCCCCTCTTGGTTCAGCTGGGATAATAAACGACCTGGAGTGCAGGTGGGTTGCGTTTTGCTCCGGTTTAAATTTGATGATAACTGATTATGTGGTTTACATATGTGACATTTATTTTTACCATTTCTTTTAACCGAAGCCCTGCAATAAGTTTCTAAAAAAAAATTAATTGTGATTGAGCATCATGCATCAAAGCGGAGGTATCATAATTTTGTTCCTGTGAGTAAAGTGCTTCACAGATCTGGGATTGTAAGAGCATTCGCCGAACATAATTCACACACTAGTCAGTGGTCCAAAGTTTCGTGGAAAGTGAGTCTCGCAAATTGATTGTGGGGAACCAGGTACTGCTGGCAAGACTTCAAATGCTGAATCCGCCCTCTAATGCTGTGAACACAGTGAGCATAGGGCTGACGAACTATAAAACTACAGCCGATGGACTCATGTGTGCTTTTCTGCCTAGGTCTCCGACAGCTAGTAAAGATCGCACTAAAGGTAACTGAGTATGTCTCAGAAAATATGATTTTGTGTGTAGTTGTCTCGAAGTTTTTTATTTTATTTTTATCTTTATTTTTAACTTTATTTATCAGGAGGCTATAGTTGCTCTGCTGAGAACGAACTCTTACACAATCATGGCAACTTCAGATTTTTCCCATGTTAGAGGATGAGTCAATTATCTGGACTACCCTACAACAATTGAATTGAATTTTTTCTAGGATCGGGTGGAACATCTTGATCACCTCCACATGCACAGGAAGGCACGTTCTATGACAGGCACGCGAACCCTTATTTAAAATCACATAACGTTTGGTTCAGTCAAGAGTTCAATGGAAATTTTGAAAATGAATAAGTGGTGGTGCAGGTGGAATGCTGTGGATAGAGCAGTGGAGTGCATTACAGCATGGCATCAATTCGGCTCTCCTGGCCACATTCTACAGTGATTATCTCAGCGCTGCTCAGTTGCCTGGAATTAGCTGCTCAGGAATAAGCTTCACCCCAGCAGAGCTCCGAAGTTTCGCAGCTTCTCAGGTAGGTTCCTCCTGAGTGCCCACATTGCTCCTCAGCTATTCACTTCCATTTTCCCTCCACAGATTGAGAACAAAATAAGTGGTAGAATGTACTGTTAGCCACCAACACATTCTTTCCTTGGGTTTCACAGGCGGACTACGTCTTGGGCGCCAATCCTCTGTCAACGAGCTTCATGGTAGGCTACGGCGCAGAGTATCCTCAGAAGCTGCACCACAGAGGAGCGTCCATTCCCGTCAACCCAACAGTCTACGATTGCAAGGGAGGCTTCATCTGGTTTGACTCAACGCAGCCAAATCCTAATATAGCGCACGGTGCAATTGTGGGTGGTCCCTTCAAGAACGAGACTTACTCAGATACTCGAGACAACATCCTCCAGAATGAAGCATCTACTCACAACAGCGCTGCCATGGCAAGCTTAACTGCCGGTCTCTCAGTTTCTGGCAATTACCCAATCCCTCTTTCATGGATATGAACAGTCCAAACACGCTTAGTTCTTATACACAATTCAGAGAAGGAGTTGATATTTCAGTAGTCACGTAAACCTCACAAGATCTGGGGCATGCAGATTAGGATGGACTCTGTTTTTCAGACGCAGTTTGCGGTGCATTTCGGAGTAAACTTGCAGATCAGTCCGTGCTATCATCCCTCCTTCATCTATCTTCCTGTACTCTGTCATATCATCATTTTGTACATTGTTTTCATCAGCTTGTCAGCTATCCCAACGTTACTTGTTGTATTATATCTCGAAAAACTTCATGTGGGTGCTGGAAGTAGATTAGTACTTGAAGGAGGTTCTTTCTTATTAGAGCTCGTAGTATCAGATGAGAGCTTTGATGGCTTCAGCTTTGGAGGCTGTTCAACTGGTTATATCTAAATCCAGTGATTTTCACTGCTTGGAATCTAAGGAGTAGTAAGTGACTTGAATTGCTAGTGGTTGTATTTTAAGCTATATCTTGTGTAATTTGACAAGATTTTGGCTAAAAATTTCTAAGAATGTGTATTTTGATATTACTAAGCTTTATACATGAGTTTTGTGGCATTTGAGTTTTGAATTAGCGAGATATGGTGAAATCAGTACTTAGATGTCTGTAAAGGTGATACATACCAAACCTGCTACTGAACAGACAATATCTAGAGTTCGGTAACAAGTTTACAATTGACCTTTTTTGTGTGGTAGAAGTTAAGAGTATTATCTTGGTCCTCAAAAATTTTGAACTCAATCCAATAGTTGGATTAAAAAAAAAATTGAGTGTTGAATTTTTGTAATTTTGAAAGGGGGTATTGTTATTGGGTATTGGTTATTGTTACTACTATTGATTATTGTTATTGATTATTGGTTAATGTTACTACTATTGGTTATTGATACTGGTTATTGGTAATTGTTACTACTATTGATTACTATTACTACTATTGGTTATTGTTACCAAAGCCAATTATTGTCACTGGTTATTGATTATTGTTACTATTATTGGATATTATTACTAGTTTTTGGTTACTGTTACTACTATTAGATATTGTTATTGATTATTGATTACTATTACTACTATTCAGTACTGTTATTGGTTATTGGTTATTAGTTATTGTTACTACTATTGGCTATTGTTATTGATGATTGTTACTACTATCACTTACTGTTACTGCTACTGATTATTGTTACCAAAGCTAATTACTGTCACTGGCTATTGATTATTGTTACTACTATTGGGTATTGTCACTAGTTCTTGATTACTATTACTACTATTGGTTACTGCTATTGGTTACTGCTATTTGTTATTATTGCCAAAACTAATTACTATTATTGTTGTTGGTTAATGTTACTATTGCAGTTATTGTATTTATGGGATTTTGATAATTTTTGACTGCTATAGATAAATTAGTTATTGAGTAAGAAGCCATTAAACTACAAATAAGTTCTCTACACCTAGATACCGAATGTATTCCCAGATAGAAAAACATGTACTACTACAATGCATGTGATATGAACTTAACTATAAAAAAAGACAAATAAAAACTTAATTGTGCCCCCATAAAAAAATAAAAATAAAAATAAAAATAAATCAACAATATACATAGTATTGTATATGGCTTGAATTCATTTCGTATTTACAAGTCAAAGGGCACAGAAAGTTGAAAAATACTAAGCTAAAAAAAAAATTAAAAAATAAAAAAAAATAAAAAATTAATAATATACATAGTAATGTACATCACTTGAGCGTATTTGGTATTTACAAGTCAAAGGGCACACATTGCTGAAAATCATTAAGCCAAAAATATAAATAAAAAATACAATAAAATCAATAATTTACTAATATAATTTTAATAAAGATGATGACAATGATAATTTTTATAAGAATAATAATAATAATAATAATCAATAAAAATATATAACTAATTTAATCTTTACTCTAATATCATCAACTTTCTTCTTAAGTATAGAATCAACTTGCATCCATAAACAATTGAAATAATTACAAAATTAAAAAAATATGACATTTATCTTCAACAAATGAAGGTCAAGAGTTAATGCCATACATATGCATTACAAAACTAGCAAAAATTAAGAAGTCTTTGCTCTATAAACCATTTGTAAACCACTCTATACTAGGCAAAACATGAGTACTTGATCTAAGAATTTTGGCAATTGGAGAGAAGATGATTTTTAGGGTTGCAACTTTGTCTTTAACAAATGAAGATCTAAAATTAACACATGGACTCTAACTCATGACAATAATGTGTTGAAGATAATAAATGACAAAATATGTGCACCAATGAAATTGCTAAATTGATTATTATATGTGACTTTACCAAAATTATTGAAGATAAATCACATCAAGAACTTCTTTTTTGTCATTCTCTTCAATCATCCTTACTATGTTTGTTAAATTTTCATTCCATATCTTATCAAGCATTAAAAATGCTTTATTGCTAATTACTCACAACTACAGTGTACAATATGAAAAACAAATTAGAATGATTACCATTTTGCATCACTAGAAAATTAATAAATCAATTGGATTTGCAAGAAAATCATGATTAATGATATAAAATTCCAAAATTGAGTAAAAAAAAGTATCAAATATAGTAATATGCACTTGTTGAGGCTTAGAAGCACCAAAAGTGGTCCATCCAACATTACTTAGAGAAAAGGTGACTTGTCTTGGTAGTGAAACTCTGTAAAAAATTGTAGCACAATACCTTGAAGAAAATGTTGAATTTCTAAATGAAAGAAGACTAGTTTGAAAGTAATATGAAAAATTCTTCTTTCTTTATCTTCAATATATAACTTGAATTGACATTGATATAATGAGTAGATTCATCTTCCTCTTATGTCTAAGTTTGAAATATTGGTCCTTATTGAGTGTTATTCTTTGTTTGAAATATTGGTCTTTATCTAGTGTTATTCTTTGTAACACTACCAATAAGAGAAGATAGTAAGAAACTATTTTTAAAAATATATTTGCCACTAAACCAAAAATACTATAAACTCTTGAAATTTTTCATAAAAAATACTAAACACACAATGCTGGAAAAATCTAAGCTAAAGAAAGAAAATAAAATAAAATAAAATAAAATCAGCAAAATACAAAATTTAAGCTCATTTGATATTCTCAAGCCAAAAGGCATACACCTTTGCACCAAATTCAAATTGAATTTTGTATTAGAATTTTGAAACCTATATATTTTGAGGTGGTGATGACCAATAGAAAGAGTATTTTGTGTGTTAATAGTATCTTTTCAAAAGTTGGTGGGAGTGTTAAACATGCATATTTTGAATTTTGATAAATAAAAGGTTGAGTTAATTTTGTTTTTTTTACTTCACTATTGACAAACACAATGAGGCATGCTTGGCCAATCCAAGAGCATTTTTATCTCTTCTTATTTGTCTCCTAAGTTGTCTTATATAATAAATATATCATTTAATTTGAAAGAACATAAGCAATTGGCCCAACCAGCCAAGGCTTCACTAGCCTACTAAAGATCACCGTACTTTGAAAGCAAATCCACACTCTAAGTGTCGGTGATTCCACCGACACTCACCATCGAAGCACAAATCTGGAAACAAGTCAACAACACAGAACTTAATCTTGTGTCTAGATTCAGCAACAGTCTGTCCTCATCAATTGCACTAGATTTTTGTACGAGACCGATGATGAGAAGCTACACCCACACAAGCTGTAGAAGACGATGACACCAAAACCAGCATAGCAAAGTTGGGTGATGCTTCCACCCCAACCGTCATACGAAGAATGAAGTCAGAGAAGAGGAAGAGGAGGAGAAAGAAGAAATAGTTGAAGAAGATAGCAGATGGTGCGCAAGGTGGTGTCACTCTTGAGATTGCCACTCTTTGTGCCTATCCCTACATGTGAGCTAGGCACAAAGAGTGATTATCATTTCATTGGCAACCGTGGAGTTGCAGCATCTAGTATCGATGTCTATATGCTCAATTTGTCTAAATTGTTACTATTGCGGCAAAACCAGCAGCGAGGAAGCTTTGTAGGGTGTTGCGGAATAAAAACGGCGCCAGCAATGACTATTGAATCTCAACTTACTGAGACAGTAGGGAACAACTAGTTCATAGTGACTGAATTGGACACTGGTAATGTACGCTGATGAGAACCTGATTCTATGAGAACGTTAGGCGTTTCCTTCACCGATGGAAGGAATCGGGTATATGTGATGGATGAAGATGAGGGCAGTGTCCAACACCCCCTCTTGCACTCATCTTTGCACAGATTGAGGATTCTTGGTGATATGGATCGCTTTTGGCAAATGCACGATTTTTTTTCCGGTGAATTTTATGCAAGTTTCTATGTTTTTCTTTTCTAACTTCGTTTTCTACTTTTTTGTACTAACAATCAGTTTTGTCTTTGGTGCAGTTTTGAATTTTGTTGATGTTGCTCTAAGTTCTTCTCTTATTGTTGTACCGAATTGTTGATGGGCTACTCAGCTTCATTGAGGGTCTTCTTTTCTGTGAGCATGTTACAATTGTATAGGTTGAGCCCTGTATTTTAAAGAAGCAGCCTCCATTGAATGCAACTTGTTCTTCGACGACGCCGACTCATCTAAGTAGAACTAGTTCAGCTATGCCAAAGAAGAAATACTATGTTTTTTCGAAAGGGATTTAAGTCAAGGATTTATTCTAGTTGAGAGAAGTGTAGACTAGAAGTGAGTGACTATAGTATTTCTAAATTTAGGGTTTTTAGAACGTTATGTGATGCAAAGATGTACCTGCTAGTTAGTTGATTCAATCAATATGAATTGTTGAATATCCTCTATGGTTTTTAGGTTAAGTTTTGCCTTGTAGCTTTCAAATTTAGTCCTTTCTAGGGCTTTGGTTAGTAGGTCAGCAGGTTGTTCTGATGAAACAAATTCTACTTTAATTATTCTGTCTTCCATCTTTTGTCTAGTGAAGTGTTAGTCTACTTCGAAATGTTTTGTTTTATCATGGAACATAGGATTTTTTGCTATCTTGATACTACTTTGATTGTCACAGCCTATGCAGGTGGGTTGTTTATTGCCAAATCCTAATTCAATGATTAGTCTTCTAAGTCAAATGGCTTCACACGTGCATTTGGTTAGAGCTCTATATTCTGATTCACATGAAGATATTGCAGTAGATTGTTGTTTTCTTGAGCTCTACAAGATGGGGGTTTTGCCAAAGTAGAATAGATACGCACCTATGGATGTTCTGTAGTCTGCAACGGAGAATCCGTAGAGCTGGTTTTCCTTCCCTTCTGGAAACCAAAGACCCAGCGACGGATGTTTTCAAAGTTACTTGACGATGTGTATTGCAACATCGTAGTGGAGCTGTTGAGGATCATGCATGTATCGACTGGTTAACGAGGCAAAATATTCGAGATCTGGTCGGGTTTAGATTACATAATGCAGCTTTCCGACAAGGGCTTGGTATGCTGTCTCGTAAGTGGGTTGAGTCTTGGTATCTTTCCTGTGAAGAAAATTCCTCTCAGTTTGCTCGACCTCCACCTTGAGGAATTTTTTCATAAGACCCAGATCGGTCATCTTGTACTCTCGGCCTAGATCTGATTTCAGTGTAGAGATGTGGGTCGGGTGCAATCTTGTAATGAATAGATCATCAACGTGGAATAAGAGGATGGTAACTGAATTGCCGGCCAGAGAGTAATACACATTAGGATCAGAGTTGATTTTATTCATGCCTCGTCGCTGAAGATCATTGTTCAGCAAACTGTACTACATACGGGGGCTTTGTTTTAGCTCATATAGTGAGCGTTTTAGCTTGCAGACTAAGTGTTCCGTTCCTGGTTTGACACATCCCTATGGTTGGTATATAAAAACATAATCTTGTAGAAAACAATTGAGGAAGGTTGTGGCAACATTGAGATGATATATTGGCCACCCATAATGGGTTGCTAGCCCGGTGATGAGGCGGATGGATTCCCACCGTACAGTAGGTGCGAATGTTTCTTAAAAATTTACACAATGTTATTGCTGGAAGCCACGCGCAACAAATCTGGCCTTGTAGCGTTTGGATCCATCGTTAATCCCTGGTTTGATTTTGTATAGCCAATGGACCAAAATGGGTCATACACTAGGATGGGCTTTGACGAGATCCCAAGTGTGGTTGTCTAAGTTGGATTGGTATTCTAAGGCCATGGCATCGCGCCATTGTAGATTTAATTTAGCTTGTTCAAAGATGAAAGTTTCTCCACCTTCGTCAATGCTTCCGATGAATGCCTCCATGAAATCAGTTGGGACTTAGTTGTTATGGGATTTTGGTGTTTGACATAGCCTTGAGGATCAGCGCAGAAGAGGTTCCGAGTTCTATTGGCTATCAAGTCGAGGAGAACAAGGTGGTATACTGGAGTTATCCTGGGATGTGTTTTGAGATTGAGAGTATGATGCAGAATGGTCGATTATCCTTGGATAATAGAACAAAATTTGCCGCGGGATCATAGCATTTGTATCCTTTCATGCTGTCGTCAGGACTGAGAAGTATGCAAAGCTGAGATCTAGGGGCGAGTTTGCACTGACCAGGTTGTGTGTAGGTTACGTAAGCTCGTGTGCCAAATGCTTGCAGATGAGTCACATCAGGTTTAATTCCGGCAAAAAGCTCCAAAGGTGTTTTATTTGGATGCTTCTTACTAAATCGCAGATTCATGATAATACAAGAAGCCTGGACTGCTTCAGCCTAGAGTGTGTTTGGCAGGTCAGTCGATGAGGAAACATCTGGTGATGTCAAGGATTGTTTTGTTGTGGCTTTCGACTACACCGTTTTGATGAGAAGTGAATGCTTGACTGAATTGGCATTAAATACCTTGTTGTACACTCACGTTCGTTTCAACAAATCATCTATGAGAAGTTGGAAATAGCAAGCTCCTCCCATGGATGTGACCCGAAATGGCTCGACTATATCAGAGAGAATGATCTCCAGAGTTTTTGATAATTCAGTTGTCTTCATTTTTTGTACCTTTGCTCAAGTGTTCTTGCCTTGTAAGCAACTGTGACATAAAATGTTGTCTGACAGTTTCGGCAGACCTTTTAGTGGTCCTGCAGCCATCATTCGTCTCATTCCTTGATAGTGGTAGTGACCCAAACGTCTATGCCACAAAGCGACTTCGGACGACATTGTGTTGGTTGGTTCTGTTTCTACAGAGTATGCTATAATCTTCGTGCAATTCTGTATGGTTTCGCCATTCAGTCTATATAGTCCGTTTTGTGAGTCCTTGGTAGCCACATCAGCTATTTTGTCCAGGTACCTGAGAAGACACTCGTTTTTTCTAAACTCTAATTGATAATTTTTGTCTGATAAGAAGCCAGCGGAGAGTAGGTTTTTCTTGATACCTGGCGAGTAGAGAACATGAGATATTGTTTGAATTTCTCTTGAAGGCAGGCGAATAGCAACGTTGCCTACACCCGTTACATTGTGGCTATGACCACCTGCTGATGTAACATGAGTTCCAGTACTAGGTTTTAGTGAAGAGAATACTGATGCATCACTTGAAATGTGATTCGAAGCACTTGAGTCTAAATACCACGGTACTAATGAAGATATGTTGTGAGATTTTACATGATTAATCTCAGCAATATAAGCATCTATTATATGAGAGACAGTGGTATCCTCCTCTCCTTGACCGTCCTCCTACGTCGGAATTGATGAGGTCATTGTCTCTAATATCAGTTTTGAGACTGTGAATTTGACCGCTACCTGTGCCTTCTTGTCTATCTCGATTTTCTTTATGTAGCTTCGATTCCAGTTCACGAACTTTGTCGATGATGGATCGCGGTTCTCCAAGTGAGTCAAATCTCAATCGTGAGTCTCCTGCTCCTCTGTCGATGTTGTTCCACTCATTTCGATAGTTGATGCAACAAGTAGGGTAACGTCCAATTCTTCCATCTCATCCGCCTCTTCCTTCATATCTGCTAGATATTTGTCTGTGCTACCAGTTTTGCAAGAGTGACTGTCTGATTTGTACCGTGCTTTCAGGGATGTCTAAGAATCATGTGGATCCTTGGTACACTTGAGTAGCTTGATTGCTACACCTCCCTTCATGCTTCCGTTGATGGCGCTCATAGCTTAACGTCTCCCGATGCGTTCTTGCTCCGGCATGGGGTTCCTTGGCGCGGTGATGCAATAATCATAGAGATTATCTCGAAGTAGTACATTCTTCATTCGAAAGGCCCAAGTCCCATAGTTTTCTACTCCAATAAGGTGGTAGGATTCAGGAATCGTAGTTTGGTTGCTAACATGCAACACATTATGAGATACAAGTGATGTACTATCAGATTGAGCCATCCTTGCTCTTGTTGTATTTTGAACTACTGACGACATCAAATTCGGAAGAAGACATATTCCTCTTATCTAGGTGAGCAAGTGCACTATTTGCTACCTAACCCTAAGCTCATTTGAGCGGCTCTGATACCATATTGAATCTCGACTTACTAAGACAGTAGGGAACAACTAGTTCATAGTGACTGAATTGGACACTGGTAATGTACGCTGATGAGAACCTGATTCTATGAGAACGTTAGACGTTTCCTTCAGGGATGGAGGGAATCGGTTGTATGTGATGGATGAAGATGAGGGCAGTGTCCAACAATGGCAGGCGCCATGCTGCTGACCGCGATGGTGCTCGAGCCGAGTGTGCAGTAGAGCAGTGTGCTGCCACACAGAAAGGAGTTCCGGGAGAAGGTCCTGCAACATGATCGTTGGGAAGCTGTTCACCGCAGACATGATCGCTCAAACACCCGCAACGATAACATGGCCGACGCGAAGGGTTTCTCGACCTACGATGACTTCCTTGCTGCGGTCGACAAGTTCAAGGACGGCTTTGGCGTGGTTGACGGCGAAGACGTGCAGAAGCAAGAGCTCGCGGCGTTCTTTTCTCATGTTGCGCACGAAACCTCGTGTTAGTTTGAGCACCTGCTGGGATGCATGGCTTAGAGCGGAAGTTGCTTGGGAAGTGGTCAGTTTCCACTCCTCAGGTAGCGTTTGTTGCAGTGTTGGCCGGTTCTGAGGAGGGAGGTAGGGTGTGATCACACTTCTCAAGCGCAAGTACGTGTGGCGATAGTTAGGAATCCACTGGACACGTGGGTTACTGCTGCAGTAGCTTCTGCCATTACTCATCGGTTCGGTGTCCGATTGCAGGATCAGTGTTCATTTCGCAATATTTTGGCATCTCTGTCATTCTCACACAAGCTTTGGGTTTTCTATGATGTTCCGTATTCACTTCAATCCCAGGCTTATTCTCCAAGCTTGCTGCAGAGTCACAGCCCTAATCTTAGCCATAGCTGAAATCGGTTCGCAGAGAACAACTTTTTTAGACAGATAAATCGAAGGGTTGAGGATCTTTCCCGAAGGTAGTCTCGTAAGTGACAACCCACACACGACAGAGCTTCTCATCCGCGGTTTACCCCCATAATATCGACATCTGTTTACACAGCGTCGTTCCATAGGGTATATTAGGCGGATGAAGTGGAGCTATGGGGACTGTGCTATAACCAATAGCTCGTGCCTGAAAAGGATTAGTAAGACAGCCGTGTGGTACTGGATGAAACCTGCCATGACGAGGCCATTTCCTCACAAAATCATGATTGGCAAGTGGGTACCGACACTCATTGTCTTCCGTAAACCCGGGTTCAATAAGACCATGTTAACGATCCTCACATGCAGTCACGAATCTCCCACTAAGCCTTAAGGACACTCTCCAGTTTTAAGATCTGGGGTGGAACCTTGAATTGTTCTTTGTAAGGTGATTCCGCTGGCTAATGCATCCACGTAAATGGATTTAGCCAAAGAGTCTAAATCGTTTGTGGCCCCTCTTAGAATCTCTTTACCATCTTGGGTAGTAGCTGGTGAGGTAATTGGGCGACAAGATAGTTTGATCACGGGATTGGACATCTCCGCCGTAAATCTTAGCCAACTTCAGTACGAGAATAAGGTGAATTGAATGAATCTGTGGAAGTAAACGACCATTACTGCATGTGTTGGGCTATATCCCGACGTGGATACTGTCAATCTTTGTTCTTAAGTAGATGAATGTTCAAAAGCTTAATTAATAAGCTATTGTCTAATTACAATATTGGTACAGGTAAGACTGACATGATCGATCGTTTTGCTGTAGAAAAGACAAATAGATCGTAGAGAGATTCAACCTGCTCTGTTGAAAGAAAAAAATTGTACACGCCCTTTGCAGTTATTGCAGAGCATGCACGTAATCATGTATTTCACGTCCAAAGAATTGAATGGCATCCAAGAGACACGCTTATAATTGCAAGCATGAAACATACAGTTGCTATCTTACACCCATACCAGCAAATATAAAGCCTGCTAATACAAAAGTAGTCGGGATTGTGATATCCGAAACACAAAAATATGTCCTAATGTGATTGCTCTTCGAAAATGAAGGGTCGTTCAAATTTGTATTACACTCTAATCACCATGATCAGAATACCTCAGAATTATAAATATTAAATATGATCAATAATCATAGAAGCTGCTACAAAAGACTAGCTTAAACCTGAGAGCACCTACAGGCACTACTTCAGCCTACGGGCTACGAAGGAATATAACAGAAGACCGTAATTGAAGCCTATTCTCCTCGGGGTCTTTTACCAACGTGTGAATGTCAACTATTTCAGAGGTGAATCGTCCAGCACTGTGGACACAGTTAGGCATTTCGCGCACCAATCTCGACCTGAAATATCGGTCTAAAACAAAAAACATATCAGCCAAAACGACGCTCCAATCTAGTCATCTTGTTTTCTCCTGGCATCACCCATTACGTCTTCCCGGAGGGCCTGCTTGCTGTTACCGAAGATACGCTTACGGAAGTCGCTTACCATGAGAGGTAGACCTTGTCTGAGAGAAATTTTGGGCTCCCAGCCTAGTAAGTTCTTGGCCTTGGTGATATCCGGCTTCCTTTTGTGAGGATCATCCTGAGTGTTGGGCTTGTACTCAATCGTTGCAGTGGGATCAATCACCTCCTTGACAACCTGTAGAAAACGAAAATATGAACCAAGCAAACGTAAAAATATTACTGCGAACAAATGTCATTACTTCACGAAGTAGATGGTTAATTTCAATGATTTCATACCTCTGCAAGCTCTAACATAGTGAATTCGCCAGGGTTGCCAAGGTTGAATGGACCCACGTGCTCACCCTCCATCAACCGCATTAAACCTTCTACCTGGTAACATGAGATGTCATTCAAGAAAGGTTACCAGCAGGTCTACTTGAGCAAATTAGCATCAAGACTATATCGAATTAAGGCGATATATCAAGTTCTGATGGAAATAGTAAGACCATGAGCACTTACCAGATCGCTCACATACTGGAAACTCCGGGTTTGCTTACCATCGCCATAGACGGTCATTGGCTCCTTCCGAAGTGCCTGAGACAAAGAGTGTTAGAAGCCGATCCTACCAAAGCTACTGAAAACAGGCTGAAGCATGCAACACATCTAAATAATTATACTCCTCGAAACAAAACAAATATATAGATATAGATATAACAGAAGGAAAAAAACTGCTAATACCAAGCACTAGGAAAGAAGAGCAAACCTGTGCAACGAAGTTGCTGACAACGCGTCCATCGTCAATGCACATTCTAGGTCCATACGTGTTGAATATCCGAGCAATCCTCACCTGCATGCAGAGTGGTTCAGTTTGTTGAGAAACAGTTTTTTTAAATTAAGGAAATGTGGTGAAAATATAATGACTACAGAGACAACGAAAAAAGAGGCCAACGGCGGCAATGAACCATACCTCTACGTTTGCACCTCGGTGGTAATCCATGGCCAATGTCTCAGCTGTTCGCTTCCCTTCGTCGTAACAACTCCGAACACCTGGAAAAAGAATTGGATAGTAAACCAGCTTTCTCACACGAGAACTAAACCGTAGCTTCAGTGAAATTGAACGATCATTACCAATTCATTTGAAAGCTTAGGAAGCGTAGTGCTAAACGACAAAAGACAAAGGAAAGAGGCTTTACCGATAGGATTCACATTTCCCCAGTAGGTCTCTGAAAGTCGGAAGAACACAATGTGAAGATTCATCCAGCGTGACATATGCGGCACATCAATTTAAAGATATTAACCAAACGCTTGAAAATAGAACAAATGAAGTGAAAGAAATATAGAGAATAAAATCACCAAATGGGTACAGCTACGCACCAACTTGAGGATGTTGCAAGGGATCTCCGTAAACTTCACTGGTGCTAGTCAGCAAGAAGCGAGCACCAACTCGTTTTGCTAGACCCAGCATGTTCAGGGTGCCGACCACATTAGTCTTGTAACAAGGAATTAAAGAGGTTCCCATTTCATCATTTTAAATCAAATTGTGAAACTCTTCCAGTGAGCGACAACCTCAGCCAGCATACTAAGTATCATAGAGAGCGAGAAAAGTTGATCCAGAAAGTAGACATAAAGTTAACCTTACGCTCTGAAATTAAACTTGAGAATGAATATAAAAATCACAAATTTAACAAGGAAAACAGATGTGGTTCTTCCAAATATCATCCTTACTAAATGATGGACTCCAATACTATGAACATACCCCTGGAAGCGTTTACACAGTGGACATCAATTTACAAGGCACAACAGAAACACAACAGCTACGCTCTGATAAAGTCTGACAAGCATTTTGTGCGAAAACGTGATCATCAACTGGAGGAGAGGGTGGAAAAGGATATGATTGTCTTGACAGGGTTGAACTTGTAGTGGACAGGTGAGGCAGGGCAAGCAAGGTGGTAGATCTGATCGACCTCCAGCAAGAGAGGCTCCACGACGTCGTGCCTTATAAGCTCAAACCTCGGGTTCCCGAAGTGATGCATAACATTCTCCTTACGCCCAGTGAAAAGATTGTCAACTACAATAACGCTGTCGCCGCGCTCAATAAGCCTGTCAACCAAATGGCTACCGACGAAACCAGCACCACCAGTGACCACAATGCGCTTCGGTCCTGGCTTCAACCCTAGAGGGATCTTCGCCCCGGGACTTGTGATCCTCACATTCTGCAGCTTCCCGTAAGGTGTAGTCTCAATCGCCCTTCGGTGCCCGAGATCGTAAACTTCATTATAGGCCTCTACAGAATCAGTGGACAGAGATACCTCGGGTTTATAGAGCTTGTACTGATCCAAATAATCCGGCTGTAGGAGGAAGAATCCCGTGGTCAGAATCACCCCCAAGAGGACAAACCACACACGCTGCTGCTGGAACAAGTACTTCATTGGCCGCCATATCCATCCCAGTCCCTTCTCCGGCTTCGCATCGTACTTCGAATCCTCGCTCATACTATCCGAGAGCCGTCTATGGTTCAAATTTGCACTCCCCATCGCTACCAAAGAAAAATAATAAATTCCACCCGCGAAACTCAACAACTACAACTCAACCAGGATCTTGCATCCGACAAACCACCCCAAGAACTTCAAATGCTCCTCCCAAGATTCTCAGAAACTCCTCGAGGCTCAAAAACCTCGTGAAAACCTTACAGAAAGGACCAAGTCTGCACCCCTGCAACCACGACCTCCTCCACGACTCTGGGTCCCCTTCGGCACCCCTTGAGCACCTTGCGGCTGCTGTCCCTCCAGGATTCTTTACGAACCGGATGGAACTACCACCACTGTACCAACTCCCAGATCTTGCCACTCCTGATTTAAGGAGAAAAGCCCTCGTCACTGTCGCCACTCACACACGCACGCCAGTGATATCATTCATTGGGCTTTTGCACGTCTTGGTTGGTTACGTTTGTTTCTTGTATTAGGGGGGGTATGTGGGGGAGGGGGGGAGACAAGTGACAGGAGAGCATACTCCGATTCACACGACTCACGATCGATGGCGGCACCATGAACGAACAAAGCTCCTCTCCAACACGTTTTGTGTATTCCTTCCCACCACATTGCCATGGCAGATTTGATCTCCCCACCGATGATGGACAGTGCTGTTTTCTATAGTAACTATTTCCCCATCTGCAACGTGTTAGATGCTATTTCAGCCACTCAGAATGATAGCGCCCTGCAGTTCTGTTGAAGATGCGCGGTCGCGCCACCCGCATGCATTCGGTGCTCCCTGCTCTCGCAATTCCTGGAGCCCAATTCGGCCTTCATGCCTCGGCACAACACTGCATGAGCCTCTTCCACTAGCCATTTGCTACTTGCACACCCCGTGGATGAATGTATTTGATAAATCTCAGTGGATGTGTCTTCGTGAGTGTGTCTTTTGTGTTGTCACAGCAGTGTTGCTCAGATTTGACTTGTACTGTTTCGTTTTACTTGCCATTTAAATACCCAATGTTTTGTTAAAAGTGTGGAATGAATCAACCAACTTGCAGTTTGAATAATACAAAAAATGTCATATTTGCTAACTTAAGAAACCCTTTGGGTTAGTGGAATTGACAGCAGCAGTTATAGACTAATTTTAACGTAAGTCTAAACTTGAGATTCACCCACAAATTGTTGAGTTCTGAGGTTGAAGAAGGATAGTAAATTTCTCACCAATACGTTGCTAATGCTGGTTTGCGGTGTCCCGTATTAGTACTGGATGTCAGGTTGATGAAGCTGTGTACCGATTCCCTCACAGAAGTCGGTTATTAAAGACAACAAGTACCTTTCTACGACCTAAAAATGAAGGATTTCGAATTCGACACGTGAAGATTATATGTGACTAATTCCCATTTCAAAACTGTAACAACACGCTTACTTTAGCAATGGCTTCTTCAAACAAGTTTTGACACGCCATTCAGTGTACTGATGTGCTTATACATGATTTTCTAATTTTTGTTTACAACCTAATGTGTTCAGATTTAAAATAAATAAATAAACAAATAGAAAACACGCACACCCAATTGGTCTGATTGGTTCCAAATATCTCTCATTGTGAATATCTAAGGGATTGACTGAATCCCAAGTTTTTTGTGTGTGATTTTGATAAATAAAATTTATGATATACATTTTTGTAGTTTTTGAAAGAAAGTTTATGAAAGGTTGTCATATTGTGTTTGTTTTTTCATTTAAGTTTATATGATTTTAAACTAATAAACACACCGTAACTAGTCAATGAATCAAAATACTATTCCCAGTTTTATCGAGTGAAATCAAATATATAAAATAATTGTACGTTAATACACCTTTAGTTCAAACTCCAGCTGTCTGTATTTTAACGGGAAGGCTACAATTTATAAAATAATTTAAATACTTCCTCATTCAAACTTAGTATCACAGTGAGCATGATGTACAACAATGGAACACAAGCATACCTAGCTTACAATATCAATGTTGTACATACAACAATGCAGACACGAAAATGCTGGAACTTGAAATATGGGGCAAACCTGAACGAATTCTCATAATGCAAATGAGAAGCACTTCAATCAATTGACGAATCTAAAGGTTCACACTATTTGCAATTAAATGCGTACGTAAAGAAACCCTTGTGTAGCACCAAACACCAAGCATACGTGGCATACACCAGGTTAAACACCTCTTCAAACCATTCCGAAAAGAAACCTGCTGAGCCAAAAATTCATACCACATTCAAACCAGGAAACATGTGTAACCATGGTTTCAGCAGAGCAATGATTGGACTGACCTTGAATGCATCCATGACACATTAACTCTCAACCGTTATGAATTAAGATGATACGTCAGGCTGCCCACAATCCTGATCTTGCCTTCATCCAGAACCAGTTCAGTGCATTTCAATGTATGATAATTCTATAACAAAATATCCCATGCAGCATTGTTAGAATTTACTGTTTTATGTGCCCGAGGCCAGGCCCATATCGAACCCTCATGAAATACATTGATCCCGAGAATGAAATAACCCAAACTGAACGGCCCCGACATTAAGCACAGTATTGACACACGAGGGACATCAACCAAGCCCACATTCCGCTTTTCTTGTTAAGGAAAAAAATAAAATTATATCCCTTCCAGGGGACTGCGTTGTATCAAAATCCGCCAAACTTAATCCAGTGTTTTCCAGACCTCCGTAAACCGTCTAAAACAAGGTACACTTTCAAAATCCTTCATTGACAACTATTGTACTGACATCCCAAGGTTGCCAAACCAAGGGCCTTGCACGGACAAGTTTGCACAGAAAGCTCATACTCGGGAATCAGTTGCCTACTAACAGCCCACAATCCCGTCTAAACACCACCGCCAAAATACTTCCTTGTCCCGATGTGACTGCCATGACGAAACGCGCCGTGACTCACCCCGGTCACACCAGTTCACCATTTCACACCAAATCCTCGCACCATTGTCGTCATAAGTGCATGCCGAGAGCCTACGGCCACCTCAACGCAAGCTCAAGCCGCGGCGTATCTCTGCTGGCCGCCTCAGCTCCAAGGTGCTATCATCTCACTTGCCTGGCGCATGTGAGCACCCACAAAATCGCCCCTTGCAACTGTAGCTGCAGTGCCCCCAAGTCGAACAAGCAGACTGCATCACTCCTCCATCCGTTCAGCCCCACACCACCAAAGGCAGCTGGGCTATCTCTCAGTCAAACCTCCTGAAACACATCCTCATCACGTTTCAGGCTTCCTTCAATGCACGTCCTACATACCAGGTGCATGCGAGCCCATGCATTCGCAACACCACGACGTAACACCACACGGATCCACTTCAAAGATTGACACCACGTTACCCATCCTCAACCCGATGAGCAGGCTACCGCACCTTCCTCATTTGCGATGCTCTACGTGCCATGATCAGTTCAAACTGCGGTTTTCCATACGGTACCAGGCCCAAACCCGTTCCGCTCACTACGCCCCATCAAGAGCATGACAAATAACTAACCTTGCTAAACTCCAACTTGACTGGGCACAGCCCCACCTGTTGCATCAATTACCAGCCGTTGCTTCGCCGCAGGTAGATCTCGTCGGTGCTCCACCTCCGTGCTCCGAGGACCTGAACGGCCGCCGAATCGTCCCCTTCGACCGTGGTTGTAATCCCTTCCACGTACCACTGGTGGACTGCCACCTTCTCCCCCCCAGTTCCCACCCTCTGTTTTCGCGCTTGGAATCGCCACAGGGGCAGTCTGCTGGCCACCTTTGTTCTGCTGTTGCCCCGCCTGTTCCGACCCATGTCCACGTTGGCTCTCCCCTGCTTGCTGCTGAGACACTTCAGCTCTGCTCGAATCACGGCTCCCTCCCACATCCCTCTCTGGAAGATGTGGACGAAGCGGACCTGACCGAAACCCCTCGTTGCCGCCGCTCTGCTGCCAGTGCCCCTGCCCTCTCTGCGGACCAGAAGAAATCCTCACCGCCTGATCTCTTTCCAACCGCCCTCGATTGTAATACCCCTGCTCACCGCTCGAGCCTGAATGCTGGCTCTGACCCCTCCAACCTTGCTGCTGTTGACCTTCTCTTTCGCTCGACACCGACCGACTCGACTCCACTGCAGCTGCTGCGGGATGCGGCTTTTGCTGTGCGTGCGGGGTTACGTACACTTGTTGGCTGAGGGCCTGATCCTTCTCCACATTATGGCTCCTGGGATGCTGACCGCCGATGTTGCGCTGGTGTTGCTGCAACCCTGTAGTCTCGCCTGTAACCGCTCGGTCCGATGCTGCGTTGAAATGCCGACTACGTCCTCCTGTGCCCTGCTCCTGTTCCTTGTGATCGAATGCATACGGACAGTGCCCACGGTGATCCTGTCCACGATGCTCTTGTCCGCGGACATCCTGCCCTCGATAATCTTGACCACGCTGACCGGCACCAGACGCATGCCGCGGTGGCTGATACAGCTTCTTGTCCGCAGGGTACTCCCTCTCGGACACTTGCGCCGAAACAAGGGCGGGAGCGGGGCCTAGACCTGTGGCAAGAGGTACACCTGCAGCCGGGACACCGACTGCCGTTGCTTGTGGTGAGGTAGTCGAGTGCTCAGATCCAAACTGGTTGCGACGAGACAGACCTACCCCACCACCAGATCTCTGATCCGACCGCTGACGATGATGCTCCGCGTCTCCCTGCCCCAATCCACCAGCAATCGTGGCAGGAGCATCCTTTGCGCTCTCGCTCCCAGAGCTTCTTTGCCGCCACGATCCATGGGACCTTCCGCCCTTGCTGCCAGAATCCCTCGCCTTTGCATCTTGACTACCTTTCCCGTCCCCAATCCACGACTGCTTGCCTTCTGCAACGCCCACAACGCGCGCACTCTCCGCCGCCACCGCATCCACTGCGACGCCACCCTGAGAACCCTGGTTATGCCCTCCTTGCGTCTGCGCATGCAGCGAAACCGATGTCTGCTCCGAACTCTCTTGATATTTCATCAGAGGCTTCGGAGTGTATCGCTCCATTTCTGCCCTCTTCCCACGTCCTTGCTGCGACACCGATCCGCTGTCCTCTTGCTGATCGCTCAACTGAGGCCCTTCACCTTTAGCCCCTCCCCCAGCACCAGGAGACCGTACCGGAGCCCACACCATGGTGTCGCCCCCATGGGACTTCTCAGCTGTCCGCTGATCTTGAGATCCCCGATCGCTTCGACTCTGACGCCAACCACCGCGACTCTTGCGTTGCGTCCTCTTGCTGGGACCATCTTCGTTCGTCGATACTGCAGATCCCTCGTCCCCAGTAAGAGCATCGCCTGACAGGCTCACGTCTTTACCCGCATCCATGTGCCATCCACTTGCACCTGGATCCCCTTGTAGCTCACTCCCTGAGATGTGGAAATCCGTGCTGTGCAGTCCAGATACTATGTCACCAAACTGGATGCTCTCCAACATCATTACCGCCGGAGCTTCTGGGTGCTGTTTGTTCTTGCTATTGCGACTGCTCTTGCTCTTGCTCTTGCGAAGGCTGCCTGGCCCATCGCTGCTGCTCGTACCCACATGACCTGTGTTTCCTGGATCCACCTCTCGCAGAGCCACACTGTCCATATTCCAGCCCCCGTTACCTCCGGTCAGAGAAATGTCGGGAGACGCACCGGCCACTGCCACTGGCCGCTCCCCTTCCTCTATTCCACCCACCACCTGTTGCTTCTCGGGTCTTCCCTTGTGGCGAGACTCGCGCTGCGGGTTCACCTGTTCACAATGTGTTTCACCCACGCTCACAGGGTTGCTCAATAGAGGACCACCGCTCCCACTTGCCAGCGGAGGCACGCCGGCGCCGCCGTTAGCCTTAACCCTGTCACCTTCCACGACGCCTGTTTTCCGCCCATGCACCTTCCTGTCACGCTCGAGCTTCCCATGTTCGTTGCGCCCGCCACGCTTTGTGCTGCCGCTGCCAATATGCACCACTGCTGCCGACTCTGCCGCTACAACCTCTTCCGTCACTTCCCGATTTTCACATCCTTCAATGCTGGGCTTCAAAACCTCCGAAACCATCACTTTCTCGGCTGCTACTGCCAGTACCGCAGTGCATCTCCGATCCAGCTCTTCAAGCTTTGCCCTAGCCTTCGCTTTCTGCTCTCTCACTCTTTCCTCCTCCTCTTTCGCCAACCGGCTTGCCATCTGAGCCACCTTCTCTTTCATCGACGCCTGCTGCACCTATTCCAAGTCCCACACAACCATCATCAGCACGAACCGTACACAAATTGAATCCCATGCCATCCTTGCACATTCAACACCATACAGGATTACACAAAATCATACGCCACTCCACCCAATCCAATATGCATGCTCTCAACATCAACAGGCCCTTGCAAACACATGTACACTAAATTTCTAACAACCCCATACCCAACAAGCGGGGCAACAGATGGCACCTCTGCATCCACATTATTGTCTGGACCAGCCTGGGTCCCACTCCCGGGCTCCGCTCCCTTGCTCTCCGTGTCCTCCACTGCTGATCCCCAACCAGCAACCCCCGCTTTCGGACCCAGTGCTGCAACACCCGCAGAATGCCTTGGACTCACTTCTGCGATCGGAACCTTTGGTCTCCACTCCTTTTCCCCATCGTGCGAAGCAACTTTGGTTTTCAATTTCGTCGCATCTTTTGCGCCACCATCGTGACCTGTGTCTGTTTGGACCACACCGACGTCCGAAACCCCGTCCTCCACGCCCCCAGCCTGCACTCTCGGGCTCTCTGGACGCCTCAACATGCGTCCCATTTCTCCTCCTTTCGGAACCTCTGCCTCCGACCTCTCTGAACTACGGCCCACACCACCCGACTTCTCCTGACTCCAGTGATGCATGCTCGCTGGACCGCCTGCTACATCTGCCACTGCATTCCGTGGGGCATTACCAAGAATGCTAGATTTCCCCCCACCTCCGCCGCCGTATGGGCTAGATCGCAGGCTAACGGATCCAACATTCCCATCAGAATGGCCCGCCTCCCTTACTTGACTCTGATTCTCACCCCGCCGGCTCCCCCTCTCCCACCTGTCTTTCGTAGCAATCTTAGTCACAAATTCCTTCTCCACCACCAGCACATTCACAGTCTTTCTCTCCAACTCATCCTTGCCCTCTGCGACTTCTATGCCCTCAACCTTCGCCCTCGGCGCCCTCGAAACTTCCACGCTCGGCTTTGAGGCTGCAGCCACAGGATCGCTCTTCACTGCAACTACCACCTCCTTGTCCTCCTCCTTCACGACTTCCTCTTCCACCACACTCCTCTCCGCTTCCACATTCTCCCGCTTCACCTCCTCTACTGCCGATTCTTCCTCCTTTATCGACGACGGAAATTGCTTTCCTGAATCAACAGGTGATGCCGATGCAGCCGGCTCCTCTTCAAAAACTGGCTTCGAGAAATCCATCGGTTCGTCGCTGCTTGCAACGGCTCCCCAATCGCGGTGTCCGCCGGAGGCACCTCTTTGTGTCTGCCCATAAACATCGCCGCCACTGGGTGCCCCTCGATGCAACCCTCCTCTACGGTTGTCTCCGCCCTCCTGACCATCACCTGATCCGCCGTTGAACCGCTCGCCATATGCCCTTCCGTCTTTGTGGCCACGACCTTCACCACTTTCCTTGTGATAGTTCTGGCTTTCGTGGTACCCTTCTCCCACCACTTCGCCACGCTCACGCAAGTTCCCCTCCCGGTGGTGTCGGGGCCCCTGATTCATGCCCCCATGTCCAAACCGCCCGAACGCTTCCGGGGGAGGCCCTCTGTGCGGTCCGTATCCGCCGTATGGCCCTGGTCCACCCCCCATTCCCATCATCATCCTCTCTGGATCTTCCATGTTTTGGTACCCCGGGCCCGGAGGTCCATAGAAACCATCGTAAGGAATCGGCCCCTGGAACATATTCGGTCTCATTGGGTGCATCGGACCTGCTGGTCGCAACAACGGCCCCGAGTGACCATACATATCGCCGTGGTGACCGTACCCGCCTGGACCTGGTGCCCCGCGACCAAAACCTCCCGGCCCGGATCCAAACCGAGGTCCATGCATGAACCCTGGGCCCTCGTGGGGATAGTGACCAGGCCCCGGGGGAGGCCCATACTGACCAACGGGTGGAGCTCCTCCACGCCGCCAGTTATCGTCAGCTGTCCCTCCCGACGGACCCCCCTCCCGTCTCCAACCCTCTGGATGCGGACCTTGTCCGCCGTACAACGGTCTCGCAGAGGGTCCATCCCTGTGCCAATTTCCTTCCACATGCGGAGATGGTCCTTGGAAAGCCGGACCTTCCCTCCTCCAGTTGTCCGAACCACTTCGCTCTGGATGTCCGTACTCAGCGCTGCGAGGCCTTGGTGGTAATATCTCTTCTGCCACACAACAAAACACGTTCATTCCATTGTCTCATCACTTTTAACCATGCCTCTACCACCAACTTACTCCAACGTTTCACCTCAGACCTACCTAGAAAACACCAATGCATCTCACATCAACGACACTACGAACACCGGCTAACGTGCCCCATCAATCTTACCGCGAGGACCTGGCGGTGTAGGTGGCCTCCTCTCTTCAGCATGTGGTCCATTAGCCTCCACTGGAGGTCCGCGCTCAGCATTAGTGCTGCCTGCACATCACACAAACACCCACGCCTCAGGATCCCACCAGCATCCACTGCTGTTCCACCACGTGCATTCGCGGACAACATAAATGCACCCTGTGTGCCAATCCCAACTGCACTTACTCTGCTGCGGACGCAGGTCTGGGTTCTTCTCCGAACCCAAAGTGGGAAAATCTGTCCTCGTCAACTGAAACCGCGAAGCCTGATGAGGCTCCTCCCCCTGACCCACAGCCATCCATTCAATCCATGAGTTCTCCCCACTTATCCATCACACGCGTCCACTACCACTCACAACCCCAACTTGCAGCGCTATCTGACTTTGACAGCCAGGACGACAATCATCCATATCACACCAAACTCCACAAACCATCAACTTCCCACAACACAAAACTTTCATACCGCAACTCACACAACTACCGCACATCACGGCAAGTCACAATGCCCGCATCCTTCTGGACATCAGAATGCACACTGCACGTGAGAGAAACCATCGTACGCATCGATATCGTACCAGTCTGCGGCGACCCGTCCATGCTGGGTTGCCCGCTGGAGAAGAATCCGCTGACTGATCCCCAAACTCAGACAGATTGCGAGCGGGTCGTGTGATATCAGCACTCCGAGGACGCGCTTGGGCTTGCGCCTGAGCGACCAGCGGTTGCGCTTGACCTAAAACTCCAGAAGCAGAGGACGGCCTGGCACGGCACGCACCACTCGAATCAGTGTTTTCCGAAAACGAATCAGGTGATTGCTGAGCCTGTCCAACGCTTTCCGCCGACAAAGGACGACCGCCACTGCCTCCTGAACTTGGACGCGGGATAATTCCTGGAGCCCCCAACGTTGTCCCTCCACCCGTACCACTATTGCCCACTTTAGGTCCCCACGCTCCACTACCGCTCGGTGGAGAAGACGCCTGTGCTATAGTCCCCCATGCGTTGCTGGTCGTTGGTGGTGAACGCCCCGCAGATCCCCAGCCCACGCTTCCCCTGCACATGACATTGCAACATTCAATCCGCGTCCATCATCGCCATTTGCAGGGCTACATAAACCACAGCTCCCATACATTCAATCCATACTTCCGCACAACGAGAGCACGGTAATCCAAGAACTGCAACACATCCTTCCATGTCCCACTCATGCAGAAGAACGTCCGCAGAGTACATCCATCACCACGTTCTCTGCCAAAAATCGAAAGCCGCCTCTAAACATCGCTTCTACCACCAATTGCCTCACTTCCTTACGCCCCTGCTCTCTGCTGACAGGCCCTATCTGCTACAACAGTGTCATAAACCAAACCACATCCGGCAGGTGTTGACTACAACTCCAGCTTTCTACCCAACCGGTCAACACGGGAAGCGCTGAAACGGCCCAGTAGCTGCCACTCATCAACATGCAGAACACCATTCCGACAAGCGCAACAGCGACCGATGCTTCAACTTTACCGCCTGCGAGGACGCTGCACTTCACGTTCAGAAGGCAATCCATAGCTTGTATTAACTGCAGACATCCAGGTTTGACGGAAGACATTACCTCGGTACTATCTCCACATTAGGGTCGAGTCCACGATTCTCCAACCTGGAAAGCAGGAACCACAACAGCTTCAAAAACATGAAACATGCATCCACCCTCGAAATTCAAAATAATGCTTCCGCTACGTAGGTATCTATGAAACCAGCAACATTCGACCTCTCCTCCCCTGTGCACACTCCAAATGGGGCCACCTTACCGTTGACTTGGTAGGTTGATGGGCTTCGGTACTGTAGGTATTTTTCCCAGCACTTGTAAACCCCGTCGAGCCGAGCTCCCTCTGCTGCACACAACCCACACATGCCACACTCATTAACTGCTACTCTAATCCGCCCCGGAACAATCGCCAATAATACAACACGCCCGTGTTCAAGCTCCCACCCTATCCACAAACATCCATCTACCGCAATCTCTCCATAATGAACTTCAGATTCAGCTCATGTAGATTGTCCACTCCGTCATCGACACAAACGAACTTGCGAGTCAGGAAACAAGTATTGATCGAACGGAGATTTGCAACTATGTAGCAGCCTTCACAGTGAGGATTTCCTCTCATCCCAAGAACACTTCACGGCATCCTCCCGAACCCTAAAGCTTGTTAGACCGTGTACTCCTCAGTGACTGCTGAAAACGGCTCATTTCAAACCAACTCTACACTTTCACAATAACTGTGTGAAACCCTATGCCAACCGAAAACTGTCACCGCGATCATTTCCACAACCAGCCACACAACCGTCCCTACGTGCTTCGTCGCACACGGACACCTAGCTTGCCTAACCGAGCGATTCGAGCTAAATATGCTGTAGCGTCATCTTGGAGTTTCATTCTTTGCCTCCGCCTCAAAACACGGGAACGAAAGAGAGCAGAAATTCAATATACACGCCCACCCTTCGAACTGTTCTCGTCACAAATTCAAAACAATGCTGCCATACCTCCGGTCGCTTGGCAACATGTTTCAGGCTCCTATTGCCTGCACCAAGAAATGGAACACCAACTCCCCCTGTGCTGATTAAAAAAAATATCTGCAGCAAGAACCACAGTTATCAGAAACCAGCGCTCACGTATACAATCAGCGCCTGGGGACCACAATACCCAAGACGAAGAATACAAAATCCATAAAGTGCGGGCAGCTTAACACCACAAGACATTCCATACATCGCAGCGCGACACACGCCCCACTCCCCGATCACCAAACGTCGAAATCACCCACCCTCTACTGGCGAACTCTATCCTAAAGGAGAACACAATGCCTCCCAGCCCTAAGTGATAAGCACTAACCCAACGCCAACTCCCCATGTCCCTAGCCACATCTGGCACTCCATCCGGATTCAAGCCAGACTGTAAAAGGGAACCCCTAACTCCTCACAGCTCGCAATCGATACACACGACGATGAAGTTATTGAAAGCCTAAGCTAAGGCGTCACTCAAACTTCTCACCCAAGGGAAACACAGGCAACCCTATCGCAGAATTCCAGCACGAAGAAATTGACACAATGACCAACCACTACACCATCGCGCAATCTCCAATTTGTAGCGAAACAGGGTCACGATGGCAGAACCGATGCCGCGGAACGTCACCTGCTGCGCAGGATGTGCACCAGTAGTCGATCCTTGAAGCGCCGTCGAGTAATTCTAGCATCAAAACCAACGCGACGTTCGACATCCGCACGGGTAATCCACTTTCGTTTCCCGCGCGCACAAATGCGCGTCGTCCCCGCTCAAGCTGTGTCACAACAACACCAGGCTCCACGCCTGTTCCGATGCCGGTGCAACAATCCCAAGACTAGGGACACCAAACATACATACATTCAAACAAACGAACGAACAACAATAACAAGACCTAGCGCGGGTGAGGGACAGGCGCTAAACACAGCCCCACGCTCCCACGGCATCCTTCCCGATCGCCCCTCTAAACCCCTTAGGGGGCCTATCACCACTATCCAATCCATTGCCTTTAGTACCTATCCATTACCGTCCCTGGTTCTATCACCACCCCCCCCCCTCCCCTTTTGCTACGTACACAATTCTATTGAAGGTATGTATGTAAGCGTGAACCAAAGTTGTTGCCTTGGTATTTGTGGGTATTATGCACTTTGTTGTTGTCGTTTGAAAGTCTCCTCACAAACACTTGTTTATATTGTCCTCTCAAATTTGCAAAATTGCCTTTTATCTAATGATTCTAATGATTGGTTATTTGAAAAATATAGTAAAAATTTGTTGTTTGATATTAGAACATCAAACATGTGTGATTGCCTTTATTTAATGGTTCTAATGATTGGTTATTTAGAAAACATAATAAAATTTTGCTGTTTAATAGGAGAACATCAAACATGTCCAATTGCCTTTATGTAAGGATTCTAATAATTGGTTGTTTGGAAAATATAGTAAAATTTCATTGTTTGGTATTAGAACATGTTAGAACACATTGTCATTGATTCTATCTTTTGATTAATGAAGTATTTGAAGATATCTTCATAATGGAAGTGTGTTGACAAACTTTTTGTTCTAAGTTAATTGTCAACTAATTTTTTTTATGTGCTTCAAATACTTGTATCATACTTTTAAGTTGACATATGATAATAACAAATAAATTTTAGTTCTATTATACATTCCTTGGAATACAACTGTTTTATTACCTGTATCATGCTTTAAAATAATAATAATAAAAAAAATCAAACAAAGAAACAATTTTGACACTTTGCAAGCACTGAACAATTTCAAAATTGTTTTGTGGTGGCTTATAAAATGTAAGTGGTACTTTTTGTTGCATTGAAGCATGAATTGCAGATAAACCCTTGAATACTTTGGAATCGTTTGGTCACAACAATGATAAAATTATAAACAAAGTAGAACACATTTCAAAATGAAGATTTTCTTATGTCTGAAAAATTATAATAAAATAAAACTTGCTGTCAAACTTAATTTTCAAGACTATACAACAGCAAGACGCAATCCTATGTTGCTACAAGTATCTATTTCGATTCTTCCAGTTTTTGCTTTGTTTCATTTCATTTTATTTTCAAGTTATATCGTTCAAAGTTGTAGAGAATGGAAGCATTGTATTAAAAAAAAAAAAAAAAAAAAAAAAAAAAATCTCAAGATGCCGGGCAATGAAATTCATATTGCAACTTACTAAATGCAGGTTTTGAATCCTAGCATTTTGTTTCTGAATCTCCATTTTGTCAATTTTACGTGACATGATTTTAACTACAGTAATGATGTTCAATTTTAACAAGACACTAGTGTGCTAATAGTGGATGAAGTCTTGAAAATTGATAGGGCAATTCCATCGTTCCACCGACATGTGATACAACCAAAGCACTTGGGCGATAGATCATGTACATTCTTTCGCCTACTTTATTGCAAAATATCCTATAAATAAAGTAATCGATACTTGATGTACACCAGATTGGATAATGAAGTGTGGCTAAGCACACAATCTCTCACCAGATGAGACAAAACTACCTCTATTTTTGTGAGTCAACAACTGCTCCAGGCCATCAAAGATCAGGGAAATAGATCTTGGGATGACGTAAACTAACCTCACAACCGATACAGCATTAGCCTGGCTTTAGACAAGCTACTGATCGCTTTTCGTCCAAGCTAGAAGACTGGGTGATTGGAGAATTCTGTCCTGCTTCCATTAGTCCAGGCCACAATTTATGTGATCAAGACCCAGATGTATGTGTAATAATGCGAATCACAAATGATAGAGTGGACAGTTCTATTGACTCTGCTTTGACGAGCTCAAGACACGCTTGATCAAAGTCTGGATACTGCTGCATAAAATGCTATAATAGACCAAGGTGTTTTAGAAATATAAAATGTCGGAATTGGAGCTATAGACACACATTCAAGAAATTGATCTGTAAGATGGCAAACAATTAATCAGCATATTAACCATCAGACACAATCGTCTAATTGTCAGCTACCCAAGCTTATCTGACATCGCTTTTCGAATAACCAGCCTGATGAAATGACCGATGCTCCTGAGTTTTGGTGGCAAGCAGCGAAAGCAAACTGCAACATTCCTCTATTAACATCAATTTGGGAGGTATGTTCGAGAAGAGATGATAATTGTGATAGTAAGACATGCGAAAGACACCATCGCCTGTCTACTGTACACAGACACACTTGCAACTCTGCATCAGAGGATTCTGGAGGTCACGCTAATCAAAAGAAATTAGCACTTCGTATGGCAAGTGCTCAAGTATAACATGTAATTCAACTGCTGTGGAATATAACTTGCCATACGATGATACGTAAAAGGTCAACTACCCAGCGATAAGTAGGCAACCACAGTACAATCGAAGCTGATGATTTCCAAGCACAGTCTAGTTAGAAAGTGCTTCCTTCAGGGGGCTGCGGTAATTTCCGGTTAGCCGGATTAGCCATCTGTTTCTTGAGCTCCACAAGAATGTCCTCCATGGTGTGATTACGACGCCAATTTGCCAGTAAGGGGAAGTATCTCGGATCAACCTGGATAACATATTACATTCGCGGCCGCTTACTCTATATGACAGCAGATTGACGTAACTAGAGAAACGCAACATACACAGAAAAGAAGATCATGAAAGTTGTGAAATGGTCAAATAAATCTTACCAATCCTGTCTCTGAGTTCACATGAGTCATATTGATTCGGGAGTGGAATCTAACAGTTGGAGGCTTGTCGGGATAGTCCTTGTCGCAAAATAACTTCAATGTGTAGATCCGACCTTCGTGGACAGACTGCACAAAAAGCAGTTTGAATGTGTCGATGACAACTCAGTTACAAAACATTGGGATGGAGGCAACTTAAGCTGCGCAGAAACATACACATCATGAACCAAGCAACGCTAAACATGAGAGCTGGGTGATAATGCATCATAGTTTATGCCCATTGCTCCTAGTTTTCGCCGTTTAACACACATTCGTAAGGTCTACCACAAATGTTAGCTCTGCAAGGAACTCACATGGCTTGGTCCAATGATAGTGCCGGTCCAAGAGCGCATAAATACATCGTCGCCGTCATCCATGCCATAGCTCACTGTGCCATCGCCGATACCTTTCTCACCCCTCTCAAGCTCCTCGAGAAGACGAAAGTTCCTAGGAACTATAGTTGTATAAAGTTCCATATTTAAAAGAAAAGAAAAAAAAGAAGGTACTAAGGATCAGATATAAAAACAAAAATTAAGTTTCAGCATTTGAAAAAACGCTTAGTTCTTGTCTAAGAACTGCAATAGTTACAGACCTAGACAGGACAGTCATCCCTAGAAACTCAAAAGGCGAAAATTATCACAAATAAAAAAAATCACGACGATGTAGATACCCCACTAAGTGGAAACAAAGGATTCCGAAACGAGCACGAGAAGCTTACCAACTACAGAGCCCCCTGTAATCATCTCAGATGGCTACTTCCGCACTCTTGAGCACGAAAAGTCTCTAAATTCTGCCCAGTTTGCGCACATCGATACACAAATGAGAACACAGTTACAATTGACAATCTGAGGCCACCTTCCGACGCTGTTCACCAGCTCAACTCAAGGTAGAAAACGAGATACACATCAAGCCCTTCCAAATCAGCACATTTAAAATTTTCTACAGCCGTGTGATACCGCGAACAAAAAACAGCTGCAGACGCACTGAATCGCGATTAACCAATCACAAGGCTGCTATTCAAGCAAAAAGATAGGATAAGAACACGCACTTCATCATATGTACTCTACTACTGATCTCGAGAAAACGACCATACGCACAATAGACATTTTAGCCTGCTACAGCACAATTTTCTGTTTACACACGGGAATTTAAAAACAGAACCAGTCAGCCGAAAGCCACACAGAAACAGGCGTCAGTACAAAGTTAGTACATTTCAATTCCAACAAACGCAGAACCATCAAGGGCACGATTTGGAGCACACCGTCCAGAACACAGCATCCGAGACCTCGGTCCACAATCTAATTTTACACACAAAAGGGCAAACCACGCAATACACAACCGACTGCTCCCCCCCTCCCCCCCAAAAAAAACTCAAAAAAAAAAACAAAGAAACAAAAAACAAAAATACAAAAAAAATGAAACCTCCACCCAGCATGTACCCAATCAGAGAAAAGATCCAACAATCCAAAAGCCAACAAACCCTAATTCTATAATCCGATTCAACCACCACCAAATCCCCTGAAACAACGAAAACCCAACGCCCAACAACCTCAATCCGGGACGCTACCCCGCCGCAGGTAACGAGAATCGCGAAAATCTCACCGTAATCGAGAGAAAACCTAGTGAACACAAAAGATCCAGAGCGACCAAACATTCGCCAGCCACACTACGACTTGCCCCGACCAAACAGACGAGCAAATTCAGATACGTAAAAATAGAATAAAATGCGATCGCGATGAGGACAGAAGAAGAAGAAGACGAGGGGGAAGAGGGAGAACCTGGCGATAGAGGTGGAACTGCGGGTGAAGGGGGATGTGAGGAATGGCACGGCGAGAGACAGAGCCAGAGTCTGAGGCAGAGCAGCAACAGAAAGCAAGAGGGAGAAGTAGAAGAACCAATGGCGAGGAAGATCTGGAGGAGCAAGGCCTCAGTCTGTCTAGGCCGGCCACGGGCTGGGTCGGGTCTAGGCCCGGGCCCAGCAACGGAGGAGCGGGTCTGGAGGGGGGGGTTGACGGTTGGACGGGCGCGGGTGGTGGAATCGAGGGCGGGCGGGCGGGCGGGTTTCGGGATCTGGGTCCGTCTCACCACGCGGATGTTTGAGGTGTCGGGATCTGGATTTTGGGGATATGAATCCTCTCCGTATCTCAACGGCCTTTTTGAGGATTGGAAAAAAGAACTTTATATTGCTTGTCGGAGATCTCATCCTCAACTATTCGACGTTGGCAAGTGGCTTCGGAAAAGGTGACACTATTGTTGGACGTTTATATATGAAATGTTAAAATATTAATAAAAGAGTACCATTTTGCATCTTGATTGTAACCTTCCCATCTTGCTTAATAGATAACACAAAATCAAAATGACCATCTATGTCAATATTACATTTTGTTCTTTTTCACAGTAGTATAATTTGAATGCAATCATGATTAATTTCAATTTAAAAGATGTCAAAAAATATTCTATTAAAAATTAACTATAAGGTTGGTATATATAATATATAAAAATATATATAATTATATAAAAAACAATGTATCAATAACTTAAAGTTTACATTTGAAAAGATAAATAAATTATCAAAATATATCTATCTATCTATCTATCTATCTATATATAACTTGGATGATTTCTGTCCTATAATTCTTAATTTAAAATACATAAATTATAAAAAGAAAAATATTATTCTATGTTGGCAAAAAAATTTGGTAATGTTTTTATTCATTGTTTATAAAAATAATTACTAAAAAATTATATATGAATTTTTTCTATAAATATACGTATATAAGCAAGATTAATACCAGTAAAATTAAATGTAATTTTACTATCACCTTACTAATTATAATAATATTTATTAAATATATATATATACATATATCAAATATTATTGTGTTAGTTCAAAAATAATAATAATAATAATAATAATAATTAGTGTAATTTAATCTTTTTTAAGCCAATAAATTTTTTAGTAAAAATTATTTTAAATTAAATAAATTAGATTAAATTAAACTAAATTTATGTTGTTGTAATTTAATTATACTTTATTTATTTATTTATTTATTTTTAACATAATTAGAACTCATTTACATAATTAGAACTCATTTACATAATTAGAGAAATATTTTGATTAAAAATAAATATTTATATTGTAATGTAATTTTAAATGCAAGTTCTATTAGAACATTTATATTTAAATTAAACAAAACTATAGACATTGTTTAAATATATGTGTAAAATTATGCACTTGCAATTGACGTTGCATATAATTGTTTGAATTTACTATTATACAATGTATTTTATATTTAATATCTCTAAAAAAAAAGAAAAAAGAAAAAAAAAATAACTTCAAAGTTTTACAACATCAAGAATGCAAACAGGATGCACCAAGAAATTAAGAAGTATAAAAGCAAACATTTGTTACATTAGAAATAAAAATAAAATAAAATAAAGAATAAAAAACATAACATTTGGTTATTTCAAAACTTGTGTTGGTGAGAGTGACATGCCACTTTTCTTGCTTTTTGAATTGCAATACAACAACTAAGTCTCATTGAATCTTCTAAAAAAGATCCAAGGACCTAATTGTTTAAAGAAACTTTAATAAAGACTCCAATTTTCTTAATCGAAGATCTAAAATTATAGTAAAACAGTATAAGATTTTATAAAATACTATAAAAATTCTATAATATTTTTACCTCTTCAAAAATTATGCAGAACATGTTACATGTATATAGCAAGTTCTAAAAGAGTGTATGAAATTCTAAACAGTGCTTGAAAATGTAACTCGGTATGTACTTATAATACCATGTAACTTAGTATGTCTTTTAAGAAATTAGTTATTAAATGCGATAACTTACACAATAAATTAACAAAAAGTAAATATGTATTTGATCTTTAAAAATATACATACATACATATCTATCTATATATATATATATATATATATATACACACACACACACACATATATATATATATATATATATATATATAATTTAAATGTAGCAAATTAAGAAATATCTATTATTGTACATTTTGTAATTTTTTTTTTCACACACACACACATATATATATATATATATATATATTCATACATCTATTAATTTTGTAATATACTAGGCCAAAATTTATTAAAAAATATTTCATAATTATTTTAAAAAATATAAAATAATTTTTTAACAGTGATGTTAACCAAGCTAATATTGCGTTGATAAAAAAAAATGCTTGCAAATCGTAACTTTAAAATCCATTGAAATTACTCAAAAAATGTTAGTATAAAAAATAGTTGCACTTATTGTGCAACTATATTTATAGTTATATGTCATAACATTACAATGTCATAAAATTTTAATGTCATAAAATTTTAATGTCATAAAATTTTAATGTCATAAAATTTAATGTCATAAAATTTAATGTGTTTGCATGTATAAAGTAAAGATAAGTTGACAAGGATAGAAAGATTAGACCAAAAAATTATTTTATATAAGTTGCTAACCCACTTTTTGAAATAAATTTAAAAAAATCGAATAGAAATATAATTTATTTTATTTTAAAATATTAAATCAAAAGTAATAATCTGTTATTTCTAATTTGAAATAGTATCCTACAAAAACATTCAAAATTATAAAAATAAAACATACAAGGTTAAGATATTGTCTTAAAGGTGGACAATTTATAAGCTTTGTATTCCAATAATATCTCTTGCTAAGTAGGATAATCTAACAATTATAAGATCAAATTATGAAAAAAAATTGTAAAAGAAAATCCTAACAAAAATTGATAATATTCATTAATGATTCCAGATGTAAAAAAAATATTTAAAAATTTTGAAAAATAGAAGAAATTTGATTAGAAATTAGACCTTATGTAAGAAATAGGTTAGAAAACGTTTGTATTGCTGTACAACTAAAATAGCATAATTAAGGTTCTCCTTGTTTTACCCTCTTAATTATACTATAGCTATTGTATCCTGTAGAAGCCTCTAAAGAAAGTCCAAATATTAATATGATATCTTAGAAGTCTTAGGCAATTTTTTTTTTCGTAATAATTACACATCAATTTATAAGGTCATTTGAGTCATGGGTAAGTTGTAACAAGATTTTCATTTGTAATTTCGTTTTCCAGCAATACAATTCTTTTTGTCATCTGATTATTGTTTTGTGCATTAATTGTAAACCATAAATTAAATATATTTAAAATTTGACCATCCTTCTTTATTTATATATTAAACATTTCATTCTTTTATCATTTTCAATTTAGCTTTATAAATACTAGAAACAGCACATATTTTTCTTATTAAATTAAACATAGAAAATTGGACTTCTATATATATATATATATATATATATATGATAAATACCTCTTGTGTTTTAAATTTATTTTTATGATTGAATTCATTTATTTAATGGCAATTTTTTTGTTAAAAAGTAAAAATTACTTATATAAAATTAAAAAATCTAAATCAAGTTTTAGAAATTTATTTCTAGGATTGGATGTTTACAAAGAGAACACACATAAAGTTCAAAGAACACAAATCCATACAAATTTACCAAAAGCTATACAATCTGAAAATCACAGGTTTTAAGCAGCAATCAATAGCAAACTTCATCCTGTTTCAAATTCAAAAAACAGAAAATAATTGTTCTGTTTTTTATTTTAAACAATTAAAAATTTCATGAGTATCCATACTGTTTTGGAAAGACACAGTTCAGATCCACAATGAAAATAAAAAAAAACTTTGGCAACACACAATCAAACAACAATTTCTTCAACATGTATGTTGAGTTAGTAAGCACCTGTTGTAATTATAAACATCTCTATTAGCACCGTAGTACTTATTACATAACAAACTGTCAACCATGTAAATTAATTGTAAATCTGAATGTGTGAGGCAGAGGGAGAGAAATGGGCATGTGGGTCATTTGTTGATTGATACATAACATAACACTGGACATTTGGGTTATATAAAGCAACCCCATTTGTGGCAGCCAAGTTAAGATGTTGGGGGCGGAGCCACATGAGAATGAGTGCTTGTCATGAGTAGAAATTTTCCACCTAATCAGCAATGAGGGCTCTTCAATTTAATCATGCAAAGGTTAGTTTCGGGCAACCTAACCAACTTGCGGTGATTTGATTTTGAAGATTACTTCTTCATCCCTGACATGAGGTGTTAGTCTTGGGGTGAGGGAGGAGTGGATCTGGGGGGATGACTCACCAGCTCAGGTGATGAGTGATCTGTTAGCTTGCTAGTGCCTATGGAGAGGTGTAAATTGGGCAAGAGGCAATGTGTTTGTCAGTGAAAGCCACAAAATTCATGTGAACATGTGACCTTTGCGTCAGCTTTGTTTAATAAAGTTTATCTTTCTGTTATCAGCCATGGCAAATCTGTTTAGAAGAGGATGATTCTCAAGAGTCTTGAATGTCAATCTGGTATGCTGGATCAAAATCAAAAGCAAGAAGGATGATACCAAGAGTAGAAGGGATTGTCAATAATTATATTTTCATTTTGCATGTTGAAACTAAAGCCTGGTTGATAAGAAATCAAAGAGAGATTGAAAAGTCATGAGAAGTAAGATGAGATTTTAAAAGCAAGAATGTAACAGTAAAAGAGAGAGTATTGTGCAAGACCTGGATCTTTCCCAAAGTAACAGAGTGAAGTTTGAGTAATGGGATGGGTTCTAAATTGTGGGACTTACACTTTGATGGGTCAAGTAGTGGAAAGTTTGGAATGAGTATAGGCATTGTTTTACAAGGACACTAGGATAAAAA